TGTGTGTGTGTGTGTGTGTGTGTGTGTGTGTGTGTGTGTGTGTGTGTGTGTAATTTTTCTAGGTGACATTTCCTTTCTTTAGTGTTCACTTTCAAAAGTATATTATTAAAGTTCAAATTTTAAACTTAATTTGTTTTTTGTGGTTTTGCTGTGTGCTGTCACGTTGTCTTTCTCACCTCTGTCCTCACAGTGACTGGTACTATGCAAGAAGTCCCTTCTTGAAGCCTCACCTTAGTGTGGACATCATCAGTCACCTGTACGAGCTCAACGAAGTCCAGTTTGACGTGGCATCAAGAGGTTATGACCTTGATGCCTCCTGGCCGACTTTTGCAAGGTAACAAAATAACTAATGAAAATAATGTAAAATTAAAAGAACATTAAAAGGTGATATATCTCTGCCTTTGAACCCACTTAGTCAGGTTGTCTGGCATTAATCCGTATTTCTCATTATCTGAATTGTTTTATAATTAACAGGAGGACACTGGGAAGTGCAAACTCACCTGGCCATATGTGGAAACCACCCAGTCGCAGTTCCAGTATTAACAGTCTGGCCAGCTCTTACTCCCAGGTAACTGATGTCTGTCTCTAATAACATCATTTAATTTTTTATTAACTTTCAAATGATTGCAAGATTTTCATTATTCCTTTTCTTCTTCCTTTGTTTCCCTTGAAACCATAAAGCAAGCATCTGAGTTCCTTTCCAGCCCTGACTATGGTCAGGGTCTGCTGAATGACCTGAATGAGTCGCTGCCTGCCTGCAGAGAAGATGTCAGTGAAGTTGAAGAACTTCGACTTGAGCTTGACCGTTCAGAATTGAAGCACCGAGAACTCCAAGATAAGATGCAGCAGCTTGGCGAGGAGAGTGAAGAGCTGAGAGGAGTTGTTGTAGATCTGCAGAGACAGCTGGATGCATCGCTTACACTTAATGAGCAACAAAAAGGCTTGCAAGAAAACTTTTATGCTCTGCAGCAGAGAGAGACGGCTTTATCCAGAGAGGTAGAAGCACTCAGAACTGGGGAACAAGCCAAGCAGGCTGAGCAGCTGCTGCTTCAGGAAAAGCTGGCTGTTGCTGAGGGGAAGAACATAGAGCTCATGGCCAAGATGGGCGGGTTTCTGAATGAGAAGGGCCAGCAGACGGCCAAATCCTTTGATTCTGCACAAAAGATACACGAGTTGCTGGACAGGTTGAAAGAAGCAGAGAAAGGGAAGTTAGAAGCAGTAGCTGAGGTTGAGACGAAGAGGAGGCAAACAGAAAGGCTAGAGGAAGAGCTTAGAGTCAAAGAGACATCTGCAAAGGATGCTGAAACAAAACTCGGAGCATTACTTTCGTCTGTGTCTGAGGAGAAAGTCAAGTTGGAGGAAAAAGTGGAGGAGCAGTGCTTTACAGTTGACAAGTTGCAGGGGGCCTTGGTAGTGAAAGAGAAGGAGGCTAGCAACCTACAGAGGCAACTGCAAGACCTCCAACGATCTCTAGAGGAGAAAGAGAAAGAGGTAGTAGAGGTGAAGAAGAGGGCACAAGAAGATAAAGATGAGATGCAGAAAAATATTGGTGACTTGAAAGAGTCTTTAGAAGCAGAAGTTGCTTCCCTTATAGAACAGCTTAAAAGAAAAGAGGTGGAGCTAGCCTCCAGCCTTGAGACACTACAACAGCTGCAAAGCAAGAACCAGGGTCTGATCACAGAGAGAGACAAACTGAATACTAGGATTGCTGAGCTGGAGGAGAATGTCAAAGAACAAGCTACGAAGATAGAAAACGGCAAGACAGAGTACTCCGAGCTAGAAAAGGAGATGGCAGAAAACAGATCGGTGCTTGAGGCTGAATTAGCAGCTTTAAGAGCTTCTGAGAAACAACTTAGAAGCCAGCTGGATGACACCAAGGTGACAGTAGATGAAAAAGAAAAGCGACTGCGTGAAGAGAACTGTAAGCTGGATGAAAGTCTGCAGCGAGCCACCATGGCTGCAAAGCTCTCAGAGACCACATTGAAGCGTCTGGAGCAGGAGAATCAGAGTCTGAGGGAGGAGCAGAACACTGGGAAAGCAGCTCTTAACCTCATCCAGGCAGACTTGAAGAATGCTCATGGACAAATTGGAGAATTGGAAAAAAACTTAGGAGCTTCAAGCAATAATGAAGCCAGTCTTCAGGAACAGCTCCAAGTCAAAGAGGCCCAGCTCGAGAGTAAAGAGACTGACCTTGTTAAGTTGCAGTCCAGGCTAAAAGATTTGGAGACCAGGGAGAAGGAACTTGAGATTGCCAAAGCTGATGCTGAAGCCACCTGTGCTAAACAGAGTGAAATGCTTAAAAGTGTGACCTCTGAGAAGCAGTTGATGGAGATGGCGCAGTTGGAGAGGAGTGCTGTCGAAGCCAAGGAAAATCAGGAAATAATCGGAAAACTAGCTGTGGTTGAAGTCCAGTTGGAAGTCAGGATGAAAGAAGTGTCCAGACTCCAGGCAGAAGTCCTGGACCTTAGGGTGCAGGTGCAGAGGTCTGAGGAAGAAAAGTTAAAGTTAAAAGCACAGCTGGAGGTGACAGAAGCCCAAAGAAATGAGCTCAGGACCCTGACTGAGCAACTTAAATCCCAGACAGAGGCACTGAATCAGAAGCATGTTGCAGAGCTCGTGGAGTGCAAAAAGAAGGAAGAGGCGCTCATTGAAAAGCATGATCACGAAGTCGCTGCTCATGCCGAGCTAGCCATAGCTGCAGCCGCCATGCGAGAAGAGTTGTCTACCCTGAAGGCAGACAATAGTAAGCTAGGTTTAGAGAACAACGAGATCCGCGAGGGTTTGCACAGGGCAAACACCGAGATGGCAGAGCTGGGGATGACCATCTGTAAACTGAGTGCAGAAAAAGAGGAGGTCAGAGGGCACTGGGAAGGCGATTCTGGGAAGATTATAGAGCTGGAGAAAGGGGTTGAGCGACTAGAGAAGTGTATGGAAGAACTACAACTGGAGAATAACAGTTTAAGAAAGGAGCTTACACAGAAAGAGGCACTTCCGCAGACTATCGTGGAGCTCCAAGAAGAACTGGAAAAGACTAAAAACCAAGTGCAAACCATTAAGGACTCAAACAAAGAGGAGATGGAGGCCATCAAGTTCCAGATGAGCTCAGAGAGCATGAACTATCAAGTGCAGATAAAGGTGAGAGGAATAAACGTGTTAATCACGACTTGTCTTAAACCAGCAGTAATTAATTTTAATAACTGAACTCGGGGATAGACATCTCAGTCAGTTCATTGCTTTCACCAGAATATCTCAGAAAACCGTTCACGTGCACCAGTGGATTGAACCCCGGACTTTGTCTTCAGCAGCACCTGTTGTCATTGTTAATTCAGATGAAACAACTTCAGAATATTTGGTGTACATGTTTCCTTCTGGCTTTTTCATCTAGAGCCATGACTAGATAAAATTTCAGTTGGTCTCAGAGCTTTTGATTTATGATCAAAAACATTCAGCTCCAGCTGTACTTTGCGTTTAGCACTAATGAGCACATTAAACTTTTTTAGGTAACACCCTAGAATAAAATGACGATCAGTAACAGCATGTTGACATTGTTATTATAATCTGTTAGCTCATTATCGTTTAGTTCAAAGACACGAGCATGGCTGTGAAACCCTTCTCTTACGCTCACATTTCAGAGTTTGAACGAACGGTTGGACAAGGTGACGGCCGAGCTGCAGGAGGAGCAGAGGAACAAGTCCAGCTTGCAGGCTAAAGTTTCTGAACTAGAGGTTTGTATTTTTCAAATGCAGTCTAATCCAGCCATTTATGGCAACAACACAAGTAGATACAAAGTCATGTTGAAAAAATACTAGTTAGATCACCAAGAATTCTAATATTTAATATATAGCCTGGAGCAGACATCAACATTTTAATTATCTGCATAATGATTGGAGCAAAGGAAGCTAAACATTACATAAAATATGACAAATTCTATTATTTGTTTTGTTCCTCAGCAGATTTCTTTTAAGTCTCTTTTACTTTTATTCTTTTCACAGGTAACGACATGTTTATTGTAAGACCAATTTGTCTTTAGTTGTAAAAGTGGAGTAGATACACAAGCTCTGTGATCGTCATCAGATACATGGCTTACCTAAGTGTGCTTGAGGTCATATGTTTGTGCATGAGGTTAGGTGTTTTAATGCAGTTGTGGCCTTATATCATCAAATACTGGTTTAACACAGGTTTCTGTTGTTGCTCCCACTTATTTTTCTATACCCTCCTATAGAACAAGAGGGCTTTGAAAAACAAAAAATTATAAATAGGGTTGGTTTTTTTTATATGGAAAAGCCTTCTATAAATAACACAAAAATTGCTAATGGATACACTGCATGCATTTGTTTTACGAAGGCTGAGAATGAGGAATGCTTGCACCTAACGAGAGAGAAAGATGCTCACATCACCAAGACAGAAGCAACCATTCGTGAAAATGAAAGCGAGATTGAGCAACTCAAAGACGCAGCAACCAGGTACATTCATAATCAGTAATACTTGTGAATTCCAACTTTTAATGGAAAAAGGGATCTCTACTAATTTTCTTGTGTCTAAAGGGCTGAAGAAGCACTCCTGGCTGCACAAAAGACCTGCGAGGAATTAAAGGAGAAATTGAAGACGGCGGAAGCTGACAAACAAAGCAGTCATCTGAAGATGACCGCAGAGATCGATGACCTCAACAGAACCAAGACGAACCTTGAAGAGCGGCTCATCGAACTCTTAAAGTATGACCATTGTCTCTTGTAGTTCTTTGCAAGACTGTCAGTTGCAACAAAGAGAGAAAATGTTAGTGAGGGATGGTGTCATTAGGTCTGAGGAGCAGGTGAGGGGAGGCTTCTCTAAATGCTGAGCTAAATTACTGAGATTGGATTTGACAGAAAGACTTTGATGGAGACAAGAGCAGAAAATGTTGGTGAGAGACTCTACTGACATAAACAACAGCTTTTTGTGTACCATTATTCACTGTATTCAGAAACCTCAAACGCTTTCATACTCTGCATAGAATGAAACACAAAAACAGTGATTCATGCAACTCCAGTGGGATGTGCCCACGTTATTTTTTCCATTTGTGCTCTTTTATTATGCACGTCTTCATTATTTGTCTTAGTTGCATCGTTTCAGAAATGGAGAGATATTCCATGTTTCAGTTTGTATGCGTTCTTTTGCATTAAAGCAGCGAAGTCCAACTAAATGACAAATTTTGTTCAGCGAGTAATTGTTCACGATACTTCAACTGCTTTGAATATTGAGTTGCAATTGAGCCAAATCCATCCCACGCAAAAAAAATTTAAAGGCTAGACTGAAGACAAGACTGAAATCTGACGTTTCATTGTCATTTTTGTGCTTGAATCAGGGACAAAGATGCTCTGTGGCAGAAGTCTGATGCTCTGGAATTTGAGCAGAAACTGCGAGCAGAGGAGCGTTGGTGGCTGGTGGATCAGGAGGCCACCAACTGTCTCGATTGCAAAGGCCAGTTCACCTGGTGGCTGCGCAGACATCATTGCAGGTTTGGTTCTGCACCAAGGCCTACTCTCCTTTTCATGTTTGTGCATACCCTGATTAGATTTTCACACTGCATGTAACGTAGAATCAAATCCACTTTCACACTCGAGTGACGATAAAAATGTGGATTATGGGTAAAATATTTCTATGCATGTATGTTTAGTTATTTATTTGTAATGTTGTAGGCTCTGTGGCCGCATCTTCTGCTACTACTGCAGCAACAACTATGTTGTGACCAAGCAAAGTGGGAAAAAGGAGCGCTGCTGCAGGCACTGCTACACCCAACATAGTGCAGTGGTGGAGAGGTTCACGGCAGCAGAGTTAAGCCCCTCGGATGTGCAGCCTCCTCCACCTGGAGCTGGACCTCAACCACCTCCCGAACCAGCTCCATACATACCAACTCCCAGGGTCACAGGTGAGAAGAAGAAACATGTTTACTCACTAATTTCACAAATGTCCACATGCACCGATAGTTTATTGGTGTACGTATCTGACCCTCACTCTTCATGTAAGCAGAAGTGAAAGTTTAGTTGAGGAAGGAGGACAGAAACCTTTACTGTGAATTCCTGTGCAATAGACAAATGGGGAAGATGATGACATTTTCATTCGGAGAAAAACGCAGTTTGGCTCAAATTCAGAAAAAAAAACCCAAAAAGCGTCTTTCGTCTCAATTCAGTCCTGTTACATTTTTCCTTTTTAATGCTGATGATTTTTTATTTACTCCAGACTGCACATTGTTCTTTGTTGCATTTAATCTGCTATATTTACCTGTTCGCTCTCAGTGTCAGATCCTAGTAACACATCTGAAGCTTTTGACATCATCACAGAAGAGGAGGTAAATGGTGTGTACGACAGTGATACCACCTCTCAGACCACTGCAGGGTCCCTGGAGGGAGAACAAGACCGCAGGCATCCAGGAGCGCTGGATTTGTGAGTGCAGCGTCTATGGGCAGACAAAGCGGAGCGGATGCCGATGAGTCATTGCTCCGCGTGTTGTTTTCAGAGTCAGCGTGTCACTCTGTCATTAACTGATCAGGGTCCTCAGGTGAAACTCAGCTGGAGAGATCAGTCAGAAAAAACACAAGATACCACAGTGCTGAGCACCAGTAATTAAGCAGCTCTTAACTTATATTATTAACAGTAACATCATCGTTATCTGTTTAAAACACGTAACTGTTGTGAGTGTCTCGCTTTGCTCTTAGAAAAGACCATAAACGTGGCACCAGCCGGCTTGTTAATGTCGAGTTGATACAAAACTCTTCACACACTTCAAAGCAAACATTTCAGTGTTGAATAACCATCGGATGGCGTTTTTGTCAAGGTCCAGTCCTGGTTTAAAAAAACCCACTGACATCACTTTGAGAGGCCTCGTGAGAAAGAGGCATTCAATAATTATCTTCTAGTAATCTTAGTTGATTAGAATAAAACAAAATAAAACATTGTCCACAGCAAGAATAAAAAGAACAAACATTTACCTCAGTGGTGATGAACAAGCCCAGTTCTTATCCTACTGAGCTTATTGAGTTGTTGCTCAACTAGGTTATGTTCCCTGGATTTATTATGCTGACATCACAGATAGAAAAGTTAAATCCAACAGCAACAAATGAAACAGCAGATGGCTGCAAACATGAATGACCTAAAACTGTTTTGTTTTTTTTAAAGAGGAGACTCTGGTAATGCTTGTTTTTGTGCACAGAGACGTGTGGCCATCTGTTCACAATCCTGCAATAAACAAATTAGCTGTCAGTTTCTAAAAAACAAAGAAAGACAGTTGCATTTAATTCCTTCGTTGCAATAATCTGAATAGATGTATCACTTTGTTAAAAACACTCTGTTCTACATGGAAACAGCGACAACATGTCTGTGGTTCGGTGTTTGCAGGCCTACCGCGACCGGTTGTGACCAGGGATGTTATGTTGGGGTTTCGATCGTGTTTGCTGGGTTGTGTTTACAGATAAGAGAAAAGAAATAAAGGAAGCGGTACCACCAGATTACTTTCATTTTCTGGAGAACACATGTTTGTGTACTGCTCTTAATAGTTCTTAAAATAAAGAAACTTTTATAACAAAAAAGTGCTTTATTAGTGTGAAACAGGTTACTTAACCAGCATCATCATAACATTTATGCAGCAAAGATGTGAGGTTGCTGAAAATCAATGTAATTGGCGTTTTTAACATTAAGCATTTGTGTTTGGGTGAAATGAGGTAAAACATGCAGAAATGATCCATTAAAATGCAAAAGTACTGACCCGTGGGTACAAATCTGAGTCCACTTCAAATGCCTATGATGTTTGAGCATGTCCCAGCAAAATTTAAAATACAGATTAAAATTAGCTGCACTCTGTGTAGATGCTGTGGAGTTTTATGTTGATGCGAGTTATTTTGTTTAATAGGTCTTTGCCACTGAAGTGTTGCACAACAGTTTTCATAACTATTGTTCTCTGCGTCTCGTTTCGGATTTTGTAGAAGCACAGGAGAAGTGACCCCTGATGACGAGCAAGTTCCCACTGTTCAGGATTCAGAGATCAACCTTCTCAAATCAGGAGAAGTCACGTGAGTTTTCATGTGGTCTAAATATATATCATGCTTAAACTTAGCACAAAACATAAGGAAATTTGATTATTTCTTTGCTGTAACAATCTTTCTTGGCAATAAATCTTATATGGCTGGAAAACCTGAAGTCAGAAGTTTGCTATTAAAAGGTATCCTTTAAATATCTATGGTTCTGGTCTCATCCCTAATCATAAACCTTCATTATCATTACAGGGTAGCTGTCCCTCTCAGCATTGATGATATCTCTAAGTTTGGTGAGAGTTCCCGGGAGCTCTTCATTAAGTCCAGTAGCTACAGTGTTATTACTGTTGCTGTGATTGATTCTGGGCCAACTATAAGCTGGATGTTTTCCTCCGAGCCCAAGAGCATCTTCTTCAGCGTGGTTTACCGGGAGTCCACTGACACTCCGGTGCAACAGTCAAAGGTACAGTTAACTTACTGTGAGCTCAGGAAATCTCTGTCTACCTTTTTTTTATATAGCCTCTTGTGTAGAGGCCTAAACACTGTGAGCATGTGTTGATGTGCACATCTTGTAAGTCTGCCACTGGCAGCGTCCAGAAAAGCAACTGTTGCAGATTACATCATTTTAAATGGAAGGAAATCGCAAACCTGAATGAAAGGCTTTCCGGTTGTTGCCAAACTCAAATACCCCACACTCACAGGTGATGATTTCAAAGCAGAAGTTATCACCAGACCCAGTGTGTGCTTTCATGGTCACCCCTACAGACTGCACGGTCTTTTTGCTTTATTTTTCAAACATTATTGACTGAAGAAAACCACTGCAGGAAGCCATTGTTGCTCAGCAGGGTGAGCTGCACATTCTTTACTTAAAATGTCAGAGGTTTTAAATGAGTTGTGACCTTTCATCTGGCGTTCTATCAACTCCCTCCCTTGTCGGTATATCCTGATGTTTGTTTGTTTGTTTAATTTGATTTGGTTCAGTTTTGATGACCGTCGTATTCTTTATTTATATTTGTTATGAAAACCTGCGGCAAATCTTTCACCTGTGCACTGAGATTATTTTTAAAGGCCTGTTTCTGTTCTGTTCTCAGGTCCTGATTCCTCTCACTCGCTGCGTTTCCCATAAAGAAACCATTCAAGGACAGCTGAAAGTTCGGCATCCTGGTCTCTACACCCTTATCTTTGACAACTCTTTCTCTCGGTAGGTCACGATAGTTTAGAACAGTTTGTTCCTCTTTTTTTGCAGAAGTGTGTAAATTACAGAAATGCCATTATGTTTGCCAGCATTTGTGTTTGACTTTTATGTAAATTTTTAAATTTCTTTTCAACCAAAACTATTCTTCAACAGGTTTATCTCCAAGAAGGTTTTCTACCATCTGACCATGGAGAAGTCCATAATCTACGATGGCAGCGACTGCCCATGAAACTCACTCTCACTCTGCCCCCAGAGACGTCATCCTGATGCCACTGTCAAACCTAAAGGAGAACTGACATTATGGCTTATCACTGACCACTTCCACTTTTGTTTCCAAAACCAAGTATATTATTCCAAAAAATGCTCTTTACCACTTTAACAGTGCGGTGTTGGTGTTTTGAGGTATGTTTATTGGTAAACTGTGGCCTATGCAATATTGTCAAGAAAGGTTTTAGAAGGAAAAATATCTATGCAACTTTTAGGGTATTTAAAAAAAATACATGCACCAAGTAATATTCATGGCTTTAGTTCAAGTATATTTAGTTAATTAAGCTGGATTTTTTGGGGGGGTTTGCCAAGTTTGGTAGTCTAAGGTGTAGTTTTAGTTTTGCTTCTGTTTTAGCAAAAATGTTGTTGTGTTAAGGAACGAAGGTCACCGCAAGTAACACTAATATGACATTTGATAAGATTGTTCAGAAGCAACAAATACTTAAAAGTTGTCTATGAAGACAGAATGATTTTCTTTTCTTTTTTTTAAAATACAATTTGTGGTTATTTTTAAATGTTTCGTGCAATCTTTATGGTGCAAACCATTGGTTCACTTTGTCACTTTTTTGAACACAAGAAAGAAGCGAAGCAGAAATGTGTTTAGGGGGCCTGGAAAAAGCAGTTACTGCTCCACAACATGCCATAAGCACTTTGTGCAAATCTCAGGAGTTAGAAATGCAATTGTCCTTTAAGGGTGCATGCCCCATTTTATGTTTTTGGAAAATGTATTTTTAAAAAATAGAAGACTGCCATTTTGCTCTCTTTGTATCCAGGTTATGGAATAAGATGAAATATATCTTCCTAATTAGTTTGTTTTATAAATTACTTGCAAATTTTTATTTTAATTGTGTTGCTTTTATGAGTGAACTGCAGCATGGGGACGGGTAAGTCTTATGAGGTACAAAAGAAAAAAAAGATTGAACTAAATTTATGCTGTTTCTTCTTTACTGAGTCTTTGCATGACTCTAACTTTAAATATGTTGCTGAGTAGTGACAGGCTACTGTACTTTCTAAGTGCCTTGTAATTCTAACTGTCAGGGATGTTTGATGTTCAAATTACACATTTTTAGTTGTGTTGTCAACTTAGAACACATCATCTGGTATGAATTGATATCACTCTGTTAACTGATACTTAACTAACTTTCTGTGTGAAATGGCATCTAAGTCATGTTCTGCACATTATACTATATTTTTTATTTTATCGGTGTAAATGTCTTTTTGCTTTTTCCCCCTTATGAATCTCCGGAATCCTTTCATCTTTTCTCTGGATGATACATTTTTTCTTGTGATGAAGTAGGATGTTCATTTCTGGTTTTTGTTTGTTTGTTTGTTTGTTTGTTTGTTTCTGAGCAAGGCAATAAGAAATAGCAACTTTGGTCACTTTTGAACACAGCCCTACGGTCTGGGTCAAGCAAGTATGCTGCTTTTTGTAGAGGCCTGTTTCTACTATAGTCAGGTCTCTTTTTATCAGCTTTGATGGGTGTAATTGATGCAAAAACTATGCAAAGAAGGTGTTTTCTTTACAAAGCTGCACTTTGTGAAAAATATATTTAATTTGTTACAAATTAAATGAAAATCTGTTTTTATTATCTTTTTCAACAGTGCACACAGGGACAGATTTTTCTACTAGCTGGTTTTGAATGATTACTCTGGGGGAATGAATTGTGTGGTAACCAATGCTACAGAGACTTGAGTGTAACTAAGAGACCTGTCAGACAGCCTACAAACATGAATAAAATGAGAGAAATGATGTCTCTGCACTAATCTGTGTCTGATTTAGTATTTCAAGGGAACAAGATGAGCTCTTTAACGTGTTTCTTAACATTACATCCATGTACATTTGCTTTCTGTTGGACGACCTCTCTCTAAAGACAAGAAAGTTTTTTTTCTGTGTTTGATGAGTAACTGAGTTCAAAAGCTGCTAGTTGGTTCCTCTGTTGTAAATCCTATATCCTCTATTCTGATATGGCTTTGCAAAACAAAGAAACCACAGAGAGTGTTTTTCTCTGTTAAAGATGAAATACATAGCTCAAAAAAATTAAAGGAACTCTGAGTCATCACAGTTTTAATTCAATTCAATTTTATTTATACAGCATCAAATCACAACAGCAGTCGCCTCAAGGCGCTTTATATTGTACAGTAGATTGTACAATAATAGAGGTTAGGAAGCAGAGACCTATGCAGCTTTAGTCCTTATCTCTCTTGACTGTTTTTTTCTCTATTTTTGTCTTTGATAATGTCACAGTGTAATTACTGGCTGCGTGAAATGGTACAGGCAGCCCATTCAGATTGCACAGGTATTTCAGATCCCACAGGATGGCCCGTCAATATCTGCCATCACAAGAAGCTTTGCTGAGTCTTCTAGCAGAGCCTCAAGAGTGTGGAGGAGATATGAGAAGACAGGCTGTTACACTAGGAAAGCTGGGCAGGATAGTAGAAGGACATCAGCTAAGCAGTACAACCAATATCGACTCCTTTGTTAGAGAAGGAACATGAAGGGTAATGCCAGAGCCCTGCAAATTTATTTCCAGCAGACTACACATGTCCATATTTCTGACCAAACTGTCAGAAATAGACTCTGCGGTATGACCTCCCATCCTTTACTGGGACCTGTATTACAGATGACAGCGAGTTCACACTGAACATATGTGACAGGCATGAAATAGTCTTGTGAAACGATGGCATCTCAAGACTCCCTGTAGAGGACCTTGGGCCCTCATACCTCCCTCAGAGATTCTGCGTCTGACAGTTTAGCCAGAAACATGTACAAGTGTCCCACTGGCAAACTCCTGTGCTAGTAGTCAGAGAAAGCCTTGCAATGGCACGTATGGATGTGCTATACTGGAGAAGTTGGATTTCCTGTGCAATGTAAATGGGCTGCAAGAATCTCATGCTAAATCTAGAGAAAAGATCAGGAGGGATGAGGAGAGATTGTCTTCTCGTTTCTTTTCTTTTCTTTTTTGCAAGAAAACGTGATACAAATTATCAAGAAAACTTGAATAGAATAACCTTGAAGTTTAACTGACTTTGTGTTTATACTGTAAATATTAGAGCTTCCCTTGATTTTTTTTAAATTTATTTTATTTTTTAGCAATGTAAAATTGCAATGTACTAAGTTTTTTCTCTCTCAAAACAAAAAACCTTAAGACAGCTTGATATGAGACACGCTGTCCAACTACAGTACGCAAGTGATATTATCAAAGCACACATTTATGCGTATTTGGCGACCCAGCCTGGCTCTGGAAGGCAGAGGAGCAGAGCTCTAACTGCATCTGAGCTGTGAAGCTTGCAGCTGAAGCTGGGAACTGATGCTGTTTTTCAAAATAAAAGACAAGAACGATATGGTCCAAATTCGCCACACGTACCTGATACAGGTCAGTCTCCCCGATTCCTGCGTTATTGGCGTTGTTGTTGTTTTCATGGAGATGTGTGAAAAGTTGTTTATCCACAAGCATTACATACGAGAAGCCCAGGGGCGAGGCTTTTATTGTGAAAATGCATCCCGGAATCCCTACATTTATATTGTTGCCATATTGATAAAAGTATTTACACCTGGAAAGAGCGCAGCATCCCGTCCTCTTGCTGGAGAGTGTCTCAGGAAGGCAGTTTGGACTCAGCGGAGAGAAACCTACTGAGCGGACGACATGTACAGTGTCCGAGGGATTTTCCTCACTCTGTGTTTGGCTCCAGCTGTGAGTGTCTTTACTTTGACTGCATGTTTGTTGGGTTGTTGTTGTTTTTTTCAAAGAAAAGTCATGATGAACTATTTTTATTAAGTAATAATCAGCTGAAAAGCTTATAAGTCGCCGAATTTCCAGAGATAATTCTATTATTAAATAAATGTGTCTGAAGCAAAGCAGCAAGAAAACAGTGTAATTACACGGCTGAAGCGCATCAGCTCCAGGTCATGTTTTTAAACATTTTCTCTGACTGTGCAGATTGCATGATTTGGACTGCATTACTTAAAAGAAAAGCACATCGGTAACAAATCAATCCGCCTTTTTGAGCTTCTGTGTCTGTTTCCAGACAATTGTTCTTCACAGAGGTTTAAAGTATTTATTTTTCTGACGTGAATGTACACACTGATATACTGCGTTTCAGCTGCACACTGAAGGAGTTGAAATATTGTCACAATGTCAATGTACTGCTGTTGCTTTAAGACTATAGATTACAGAGAGCATCACGGATTACAGTCAGGTACAGTTTTAGGTGCCTGATGCAAATATCATAGCAATTCATTGTATTTAGGCATGTAGACATGGTCAGGATGACCTGCTGAAGTTAAAGCCCAGCTTTAGAATGAGGAGCAAAGGTAATTTAAGTGTCTGAGGAAGCAGGGTTGTTGGTGCCTGATGGCTGGGTATGTCAGAAGCTGCTGATCTGCTGGTATTTTCTCACATATCAGTCTCTAGGGTTTACAGAAAATGGTCCAAAAATGAGAAAATATCCAGTGAGCAGCAGCTCCCTGGGTGAAAGATTCTTGTCAATACCAAAGGTCAGAGGAGAATGGTCAGTTGAAGAAGAGGAAACTGAGGCTACAATTCGACAGCCTCTTTAAAATTGGACAACGGAAGATTGGAAAAACATTGGCTGGTCTGATGATTCTCGATTTCTGCGGCAGCATTTGGCATAAACGACATGAGAGCATCCAGCCTTGTATCAAACACTTGGGGCCCCTACATAGCCTACCTGAGTATTGTTGCTGACCATGTCCATCCCGTTCTTGTTGCTTCCAGCAGGATAAAGCACTGTGTCACAAAGCTCAACTCAGAATGTTCTCCTGAACATGACAGTGAGTTCATTGCACTCAAATGGTCTCCACAGTCACCAGATCTCAATGCAGTAGAGAACCTTTGGGATATGGTGGAATGGGAGATTGTCATTGTAGATGTGCAGCTAACAAATCTGCAGCATATGTGCGATGCTATCATGACATCACACATTTTTGCCTCAACACAGAACTAGCAAGGTGTAACTACTGAAGTGGCCAGTGAGTTTATATGTGCTTATGTGCGATTATGGGTTTAATATGGATAAGATGGAGGATTTCTGTGCATCTCTGTATATGAGTGGATGTTGTACATGTATTTATGGGCGAGAAAGTCAAACCTTTTCTTTTTCCAAATGTGAATATTTGCCAGTTTTCTTAGTTTTCTCTGTCTTTGGTCTGCCACAAAATGCCACATTCTAGACTTGCTCAGCATTTCCAAACTACAGGGTGGACCATTTATATGGATACAGCGTAATAACATGGGAATGGTTGGTGATATTAAAGTCCTGTTTGTGGCACATTAGTATATGTGAGGGGGCAAACTCCTCAAGATGGGTGGTGACCATGGTGGCCATTTAGAAGTCGGCCATCTTGGATACAACTTTTGTTTTTTCAATAGGAAGAGGGCCATGTGACACATCAAACTTATTGGTAATGTCACAAGAAAAACAATGGTGTGCTTGGTTTCAACGTAACTTTATTCTTTCATGAGTTATTTACAAGTTTCTGACCACTTATAAAATGTGTTCAATGTGCTGCCCATTGTGTTGGATTGTCAATGCAACCCTCTTCTCCCACTCTTCACACACTGATAGCAACACCGCAGGAGAAATGCCAGCACAGGCATCCAGTATCCGTAGTTTCAGGTGCTGCACATCTCATATCTTCACACCATAGACAATTGCCTTCTGGATCCATCCAATGTGGGTTAGTGTCAGACCAATAGCGGTGGTTTTGTTTGTTAACTTCACCATTCACATAAAAGTTTGCCTCATCACTGAACAAAATCTTCTGCGTGAACTGAGGGTCCTGTTCCAATTTTTGTTTTGCCCATTCTGCAAAATCTGGGTCATCCTCGTTGAGATGCTGCAGTAGCTGGAGTTTGTAAGGGTGCCATTTGTGAGTAGCTAATATCCGCCGAAGGGATGTTCGACTAATGCCACTCTCCAGTGACATGCGGCGAGTGCTACGCTGTGGGCTCTTGCTGAATGAAGCTAGGACAGCCACTGATGTTTCTTCATTAGTGACAGTTTTCTTGCGTCCACATTTTGGCAAATCCAACACTGAACCAGTTTCACGAAACTTAGCAAGCAGTTTGCTACTGTAGCATGGGAGATGGGTGGTCTCGTAGGGTGTCTTGCATTGAAATCTGCTGCAATGACCCGGTTACTGCGTTCACCAGATATCAACACAATTTCGATCCGCTCCTCACGTGTTAACCTCTTCGACATGTCAATGGCTGTGAACAAAGAGAAACTTGTAAATAACTCATGAAAGAATAAAGTTACGTTGAAACCAAGCACACCATTGTTTTTCTTGTGACATTACCAATAAGTTTGATGTGTCACATGGCCCTCTTCCTATTGAAAAAACAAAAGTTGTATCCAAGATGGCCGACTTCTAAATGGCCACCATGGTCACCACCCATCTTGAGGAGTTTGCCCCCTCACATATACTAATGTGCCACAAACAGGACTTTAATATCACCAACCATTCCCATGTTATTACGGTGTATCCATATAAAGGCCACCCTGTATTTTGAACAATATAGCTTTCTTTACATTCTGTATATTCTGCATAAAACAATTCAGTCTTAATTTGATTAAAGAAAAAAATAGATTGATGATGATAATGAAAATAACAGTGTACCATTGCACTGAACACTTGTCGTTTTTGGTGCTATAGTAAGTATAACAAACAGTCATGGAAACATGTATATATTGTGTTGCTGGTGTATTTAAGGGACTAAGTACAGTATATTATCTGATTTATCATAGTCACCACTAAAATTATCTAGTGAGATCAAAATAACTGAGTGACTTTTGTTTGCCAGTATTATTATAAATTATTTACTCTGTGTTTAGTGCTCAATTTGTTTTGTCTGGTCAACTGTGAAGGAGCAATAGAGGCAACAAACCATACACACATCTGCGCACATTCATATGCCAACACTTCTTCTTTCCTAATCAACAGATTTTATGGGGATATTATTATAGGGCCACCTCGCTAATTTCCATAACGGACTAGAAATATGAAAAGCAGACAAACGGGTGGTGTGATGCTCAGTGTGGCAAAGAGAGAATGGGAACAGGGCAAACACTCATCCCCGTGTACCTCTTCATTCTCTTTCGCTACTCAGGACTGCTGAGAATCATAATGAACTACACACACTCACATAGACGCACACAATCACGACAAACAAGACCAGTGCTACAGTACTGTATGGGAGGTCTGTATTCAGCTGAAAGCTCAGATATGATTGAAAATTTGCATTTTAATCAGGACGTGAGTGAAAAACAAATAGAAAGACAAAAGGGTGGAAAGGAACTCTAGTTTTGGCTGCATAGTTACATACACACATAAAAAATGTATGGCACCCCTTCTGAGGTAAACCATGTTCATCCTGCTATTAGGTTGATTGCTTACGTGTAGATTTCCATTCTATAAAAGAGAAGAGAAGATCTAGAACGGACTTTGTTTGATCCAATTATGCTAAACTACACCAGCTCTTTCGTTCATATCTATCTTACCTGCAAGAAAACAAAAAGGAAAAAGAAGTCAAACTGTTCCTTTCTGTTGACATAATCTGAACTTTAGAGGCTGACCTTGTTTGTTCTATCTTTCTGATTGAATGACGATGTTATGTTTTTGCACTGTGCCTGAGTACTGCGTAAAGCAGCATAAAAGTGCACCCCATTTGCTTTTGAAAATAGATGGCAGCATCTGCAAAGTGAGCCCATTCCTATGGCCCCTTTTTGGGTAGTTAGTGGATAATAGGCTTCACCTCTCAGGGAACATATTTTATGGCAGGCAGCATGCTAACCTGGCAACGCAAATGGACCACTGGCTTTGCATTTAGTTTCAAGGCTCATATTGTTCAGACTTACCTTGTGCAGCCACCCACCCATCTTTAAGTCTCCCACTGTTTCTGTCTTTTAACTGCAGCATACTGTCTCCATCATGCTCTTGAAATGCATGAGCACGACATGCACCCTTGGTGCCTGTAACCATCCAGTCTTGACTTGCTGTATTCCTCACCCCCTGCATTCAAAACGGGTCTTACTTCCCCTAACCTGCACGCTACTCCTATAGAATAAATGTCCTCACAGCACCCTTTTGGATGAGAAACAGCTATTTAGTCATATTTATGATTTTTCAACAATGAATATAAATGCCCTAGAACTAATTTTACAATGAATTACCCCTGGTTTAGAAGGAAACAATTTAGCGCTATACAAACTGAAGCACAACACACTGCACAGTCTTTCTGTTTTCATTCATTATATCTGCAGAAGACAAGGGAAGCCTTTAAAAAAAAATCCCCCGTCAGCCTTTGAATGAGAAGAGTAGTAATTGTTGGGTAAAATTCACCATAACACCTCTCATTATATTATTAGCATTGCATTAGGAACAAAGAGGACTGGCAGGGATATGTATGCTCTGGTTGTTTCTAACATTTCCACATATCATTGATGGAGGGGAGATAGTACTGAGTGCTTGCATGTTTGTTTCCACTTACTTAAAGAAAATGAAGAGGAAACACTTTTTGTGTCCAACAGTTGTCAGTGAGATTGTGTTAATTTACAGCGAGTTTCCTGTATGTGTTTATTCTGTAGGTGGTTTTGGCATACATACTAAAGCGGTCTGTTATCTGTAAGACTATCATTATCTGTGTGTGTGTGTGTGTGAGAGAGAGATGATGAACTTGTTCACAGTGAGATGAAAATGGCTGAGATGAGTAATAGAAATGAACAGTTTCATTCCACAAGTTTAGATATCTGTTTTTAAATAAATCATGAATTCTAAGGTACAAGTTTCTTCTTGTTTGGATAAACAACCTTCTGTTTGCCTTTGATAAGAATCTCAAAGGCAGACCTGATCATAAATATCTTATCTAACATGTAAAACTGACACTTATTTAGTGTTTGATAGTGAGGAGATTCATAACTGCACCATTTCACCATTTCTTTAAATGACAACTTTAGAATAACACGTATATATTTGATTTTTTTTTTAAAATCAGGTCTTTTGCTACTCATTCATCATTTTATTTTCCATTTCCAAACCAATTTTCATGTCTTTCAGCAGAATTGGTGCAACAACCCTGAAAGTCAACCAATATTTTTCAGTAAAATGAAACTGCAGTGTTTTTCCCCCCGATAATTTTACACTTCACTGAATTCAAATCAAAGCACAGGTTTATGATATTAAAAACACTGTATTTGTGCACGAGTATGCACATGTAATTTCATGAAATCACTCCTGGTGGCCTTTCAAATGAGGCTGTTTCACCTATAGAAAAACTCGTCTTTTTAAAGGCAAATGCTTGTGGCGCACAAACAGTTCATCCTATTGGATGGCACTCAGAAAGGTGGTGACTAATCAGGGTTCTCCACAGGAAGTCTTTGTCGTCCCACAGGAATTTAGCCTCTGAGGGTTTGTTTCATTAAGAGCTTGGTAGCATCTTGTCAGAAAGACACTTGTTTTCCCCTCAAGGATTTTTAAACTGAGATGGAAATGAGCTGAAACAAGGACAAAAGTCTTAGCAATATGTGTGTATCTGTAACAGATGTTTTGTGTTTTAGGGCTGTGACCTGCTGTCTTAATCTGTGGAGGTTAAATGGATTCAAAGTAAAGTAAAGAAGTAGCTCAAAGAGCTGCCCTGTAACTACTCGGCATTGGGTAGTTACAAATTGCAAGATAGGCTCAAAATGTTAAAATTAGAGGGGCGTTATGATATATTTGCCTCCGTTTTCTTGTTTTGTCCTTGTGCCATGTTTTAAACATACACACGTTTGTTTGATTATCTTTATGAGGGCATTCATTGACACAATACATTTCCTAGTGCCTTATCTTGAAGTTAACTATCACAAATAAGTGCTGCTCCCATCCTCTATCCTAACTCTAATATAAAACTAATTCTAGAATAAACTAAAAGCAAGTCTTCATCTTCAACCAGTGCTTTAAAGCGGGTGTGAGAAAGTGAGGATAGGCCAAAATACCCTCACTCTGATGATTTAAGACTCAAACCAGCCCTCATAAAGATAGTTCTACTACTATAATCCACACACACACGAGTTGTATATCCATTAATTCAGAGAACATTATGTTATGACTTGCTTTTATCCCCATAAGGAAAACACATCCTCATAAAGTTAAGATTAAGGTCAGCAAAACAAGAGCTGTACCTTGACCACACACGTGTAAGTCGTGTGACTTACCAGTGTTATTCCTGTGGACACGTACAGTGTCTGCACGGTCAGGTGGACTGACTCATTATCTCTTCCATCTGTGATATTTCTGCTTTAATGTTTTTCTTCTTTTATGGCAGATGCTCCAGATAATTTCCATTTCTAAATGGAAATAACCATATTGCTTTGGAATTAGTAGAGAGATTATTAAACTGAGGAATGTAGTAACTGACGTCAAGGAAGCTTTTACAGTAAGAGATTCTGTTGCCTTCATATGGTGAGGCACCATATTGAGCTATCTATGTACAGGTGGGTAGCAATAATATGAAGCACACTGTTGCAGTATCTTGTAACAGCTCAACAAGACCCCCTCTGCTGCTCTGACCTTTAGATTGAGACCACATAAGTTTGCTGGCAGGATAAAATAATGAGATATATAGATTTTTTGATTTAACCCATAGCTGTCACTGTAGCCCCCCCAAATCTACCTCAGTCACTGCCAACCATTTGCATTCCTGCAGAGAGAGAAATTGTTGTGCAGTATATTTAAAAAAATGTTCAGTTAAATTTACGTGTGCTTGTTTTGTAAGATAGATTACATAAAAAACATTAATGTTGACCCTAACTGGAGGGTCGGATGTTAAGCTATAAAATAATAGTGGATGTTTTTCACCCAGCATTGCTTATCTATGGTATGTTACCCATATCACAGAGAATGGTTTATTGTATATGTAGTGCGTTCTCAGTCCAAGGGGGTCGCATGTTGCATTTGTTCTTTGGAGTCTTTGCCCTGACTTACAGGTTTATGGCTCCCATTTTTCATTTTACAATGTGCAGGGTTACTGATATTAAAGAGTACTGCTATAAAGCAAAATGTAGCCAAAACTCTGATTGGTTAAACCTAACCAATCAGCATTTAGTGCCTAAACCATCCATCCATTTACGTCCGATTATCCAGTTCAGGGTCACGGTCCATTCATCAATCTATTTTCCTAACTGCCAATTCAAGGTTCTGGGAAGCTGGAGCCTAAACCGGCTGTCATAGGGCGAGAGGCGGGATAACAGCAAAGTAAGGTGCAAAACGCAAAGCTCCAAAGCTCCAAAGCTCCAAAGCTCCAAGCAGCATGGGAACCACAATCCCCTGAGGAATAAACAGTGACTTACCTCTCAAGCTGACCTTTGCAGGACTCAGCTGGACCCAGACAGCATCTGACAAAAGGATATTATTTGATGTGCTGGCATGAGAGCGCATTGACCTTTTTAAAAAAAAAAAAAAAAAACCCAACAACAACAACAATGTATTTTTACAAAAATATCTTTTAGTGCAACAGATTGCAGCAATACACACAAATTCATGCACTTTAAGTGTACAGTTTCATGCCACTCTGCTGCTTTCTTCCCTGCACTCTCTACCATCCAACACTTACCTTACATCGACCCTTTACCCCCTTATTTGTTGGGCTCCCAAAAAACATCACAGTGAAAAATTAGGACACCGATAAAAAGAAGAATGTCTGAGTCGGAGCATGGATGGATAGTTGCTCATTTTCAAACGTCTTCTGTGTGATGTATTAAAAGATATTTTTGGTAAATGCCATTAATGGAAATAAGTATGTTTCTTGTTTTGTTTTGTTGCGTTTTAGCTAGAAAGTAAAATGAGTCACTGCTCTTTTAAAAGAAGGCGCAATTTTTTTTCACATACACGGAGAGTCTCTTTCATGTAATGAGACACTAACTTAGCACAGCTTATACCTCTCAGTGTACTAAACATCTCTCCCCTTGCCTTGTTTTGTACCTCTAGGTGTTCTCAAGTCTGCATCCTGAATGTGAATACATTTTTCAGCTGGAGAAAGAAGAGCGTCACTGCCTTCAGTACATTGCAGAACAGGAGAACAGAAGCACAGAAGGTGTGTTTTCCTTTTTGAAATCAAACCATCCTGTTCTCATCATTGCAACTGCTCATATGAATTCATGGGTGGTTGCAGTTGTGTTATGAAATATAGTAATGCTCACATTAAGTGCAGGGGTCTGAGCTGGAATAGAAGCTTCACAGAAAACCATCCATTATCGGGAAATATCCTTGTTGGCGTTCTAACTGCAGAATGAAAACAAACTAGGTGATATATCACTTTGATGCATCAGTAAATGAGACCAATAAGGATAGCAACATAAGGATTTATGTATGTAATCTATCACAAGATAAGGCTCTTGCTTGGGGACCTACAGTACTTTTTTTGTCCTTATGAAATGTACAAGGAGGTGGGCGCTAGGCCGTTGAAGATTGCAGTTGGAAGCAAGCTCATGATTTACACCACTTGCTTTTACACTCTATCTATATATTTTTAACTGTATATTTCAGATATGATTTATGGAATCTCGCTGTCTTTCCTTCCGATTCAGCACTCTGATACTCACCTTTTCTAACCTTCTTTCTCCTCCTAAACCTTTGTCGAAAAGGTTGTTGGCCCTTCTGGGATGCGGTCACCTGCTGGCCTCATGCAGTTGTTGGGGAGACTGTGCACAGAGCTTGTCCTGCAGTCTTCTCCCTCTTCAGAAATAGCACAGGTGAGTGCCAGATCACATGCTGGAAATGGGCCATTATTAAGCTAAATTATTAATCCTCTGACGTCAAAGGGTGTTTTTTGTAATACTGATGTCTTCATAAAGTGCGTGTTTTTTTTCATTCGGTGATTAAATTGATCTTTTGGGCGGGCTATGAATTTGTGTTGTCACAGGAGACTGCAATCCAATTAAATTTTCACTAACAGATAAATAAGCAAGTTTGAAAGTGTGCACAGATAGTCAAACCCAAAATGAGCAAACAACATGTACATACTCAACAGACTCTGACCACCACTAAGAGGCAGCAGCTCAGTGAAGCCATACTTAAGTACATTGATGCCCTGGGCAAAATTCAAGCGCCAAATTAACTTTATGTCAAGTCGGTGAGCAGGACTTTAACTTGCGAGCGAAATCTAACAACTGAAAAAGGTTAATACAATGACAGACATGAGGTTTAAAAGGATTGAAAACATCAGCATTTTCAGACATACAGTAGCAATATCTGAAATTTGATTTATTAGGGCCCGAGCACTCACAGTGTGAAAGCCCTGCTCTAACCCCAACAAGCAAACTCCTCCTACGGATTCAGTAGGTTCAACCATGTATTTGGTCAGTCACAGCTACAGACGCTGCTGGTGCTAAACTGTGAAACCATTTTGTTTCCATTAAAGGAGGCGTCTGTGAGGATGGCTTTGTCTCATTTAAATATTTGTGTGAAGACCATAACGTACCAAAGTCTCACTACTTCAGATACCTTCAGGCTCGGAGTTTTGCCTCTAAATTTCTCCCAGGGTACCCGTCTCTGCCCTCTAAGGACCTACTGTATCTAGTTCTTAATGTGAGTCAGCCCACTAAAAGAGCAATATCGAAGATTTATGCATTGATTCTTGAAAGCTGCCCTCATACATGGGACAAACCTAAGGCGGCGTGGGAAGGGGAGGTTGGAGAACTCATGTCAGAAGACATCTGGAAGAAAGCCATACAGCGTATACATACGTCTTCTCTCTGTATTAGACATGGCCTGATTCAATTTAAAGTCGTCCACAGACTCCATTACTCTAATGACAGACTGTCTAAACTGTACCCTGATGTTGCACCGAATTGTCCTAGATGTGATTACTCTCCTGTTTCTTTGGGGCACATGTTTTGGTCATGTCCCTCTCTGTATGGTTTCTGGGCATCAATTTTTCAATCACTGTCAGCTATATCGGGTGAAACACTGCGGCCTGACTCTTTGATAGCTATCTTCGGTGTACCTCGGGAAGAGCTGAGACTCTCTCCCCTCCACAAAAACGCAATAGCCTTTGCCTCGTTGCATGCCCGCCGTCTGATACTGCTGAGCTGGAAGGCGTCGAACCCTCCTTCCTACGTCCATTGGATTAGAGAGGTGATGTTGGGATTAGCGCTGGAAAAAATTAGGTATACCGTGCGCGGCTTGGAGAGTAAATATGACAAAACCTGGTCACGGTTCATAACTCATGTCAAGAGTCTGTCTTTTGCCTGATTTATTGTTCTTTACTTGTTGGTAATTTATGCTCTTGCTCTCTTCTCGGACTGCTGTCCACAGTCTCCTCAATGCCCGTACTTTGACTGTTGGGATTTCTTTATTCCCTTTTTCTTCTTTGTTTCTTCTCTCATGTGCCGGGGTCCGGCTGTTGGTGCTATAATGACTGTCACAGATTGGTTTGAGTGTTTCTCCCCCCTTTTTTTTTTTTTTTTTTTTTTTTTTTTTTGTGTTGTGTGTATTGTGCTTCCTGGTTGTGGGGATGCCACCTGGATGGGGGTGGGGGGTAGGGTTCGCAACTTTTGTAAGAAATTCTGGACTGTTTTGTTGGAAAACTATAAATAAAGTTGTAAAAAAAAAAAAAAAAAAAAAAAAAGGAGGCGTCTGTGGCGCCAGTCATGGTGAATGAATTTGAACACATTTGATACGTTCCCCCCAGAAAATGACATTTTTTAATAATAGTCATGTTTAACACTAGCAAATACTTAAGGAATTGATGTTGCTTTATTTTGAAAATGTAATCAGTATATATGATATGATATAAACATATCAGTTTCGTTCTGTTCTTCACACTGTACAATAACATGTGAACTGTGATCATCATTAGCTGGAGGAGCCACTATGTCGTTAGTGCACTGGTTTTCTTTAAATGGGATTAATAGCAAAAGATGGGGAATTTTTTTTACCTCTATTAAACTTATTTTCAGCTCACCAATTTCTTGAATGATTTTTAAATTTGACTGATTTCACCAGATTAGCTTGCTTTAACTAGGCTTCAACAGAACTACGCACGTATCAGGATATGGTCAAATGAAACTGCGATACAATAATGCAGATGTTTGTATTGCAGTTTTGGTGTTTTCAGAATTGTCATGCTCCTGATTACCACTGCACACAAGCTACAGTTGAGAATGTCAGTTTTGCAGATGAAGTCTAGATAATGAGTCAGGGGGGTCAGCACTAAAGTAAGAAATTTTATGACAATCCACGAGAACTTTTTCTGACATTTCAGTCTGCATCAAAATATCACACATAAATATGTAACCCTGATTATTACTAAAGTCAGTCTCAGCATTGCACAACTGACTCTTGAGCTCACATCTTTCGTCTTTAGGGTCAGTGAGCCGAAACTGTACAAGTGGAGGTTGGTCGAGGCCGTTCCCACCATACCATGTTGCCTGCAATGTGGATGATGACATTCCCGAGGTGAGAGTTGCTGAAGCGGGGCAGCTGGGGATGTCAGACTGAGGAATGTGAGACTAGATTGGGAGCACAGAGGTCAGGCAGAAAATTAGAAACAGGAGGAGAAGCACCAGGAACAAAGAGGCAACCAACAGCAATAAAGGGGAAACAAAACAGAAGGACAGAAATGCACCTGTGGAAATAAACAAAAAAAAGCTAGCAAAATTATTAACATATTCCATGTTTCAGGACACATTTGGGACTGTAGTTGAACTACTGTGCATGTTCCTACTTTTGCTTCTTTGGAGATTCAGGTACAGCTAACACATGATAGTTGGCTGTATGAAAAATCATACAAATATAAACACTTTTGCAGAATGAGTGGATCTAATTTGACCCGTTGCATAATAGCTCACGAAGAGAGCATGAAGTCTTTTCTTTAGGAAAGATTCCATATTTGATGCTAAAAAGAGCATATTTTTGTATTATTATTATTATTGTTATTTAAAAAAGACGTCTTAAATGTTCCAAATAGCTGAAGTAGAACATTAGTAATTAAATGTGACAGTGTATTGTAATTAAGTAGCTTTTTCATAGTAGATTTAGCTATGTGCTTAGCCCACTCTCTTTCTGCCATTAGGCTAAGACACAAAATATGGAAAGCTTTCTTGCAGTTATTCCACAGTCATCTCCTCAGTGCAGTTTAGTCTCAATCTTGCCTGTAATTTAGACTCATTTTAAGACATTACATTCATTTTGATGCCTGACATCATTTTGAAAAGCTTTGATATTTGAGTATAATTTCCTTTCATTCAAAATCTTCATTTTCATCCTGCTTCCAGACGGAGGAGTCTTACTTTGCCTCAGTGAAGCTCATATACACCATTGGCTACAGCATCTCTCTAGTGGTGTTGGCTGTTGCTGTGTTGATCCTGCTACTCTTCAGGTATAAACCGAAAATACTGATTTTTATTTCGCTTTTTGTCAGTAAAAAGCACATTTCGGGTGACATAAGCAACGGAAATAACAGCTCGAAATTCAGATGAACTGCTTTACAAAGGATGCAACTCGGGGGTGGGGGTTCACAGAACAATAAAGTGGGATTGCTGATGAGTTCAAGGCACTCTCTTCAAGTCTGGGTTTATGAAAAACTTTTACCAGTGCCTGATACTCATCGACACTCACACAGCACATGGCAGTTTTGCAACTCTGCCACGTCTTTGTGTCCCCATTTGGAATTAGATCTGATGGAATGTGTAAGAGATAAGGGAGTTGGGAAATTTACACTCTTTGTAGGATTTAGATTACACAGCTGATAAGACTGTGATGTCTGTACAGTACATGTGGTGCCATAAAAGGCTCGTGTTGCATGAAAACTGGAAACAGATGAAATAACCTTCCTGGCTCTTTCCACATTTAAATAAGCCCACCGACCAACACTTATCTGTTTTGTAGGCCTGACACGTCCCTTAGTCTCCTCACCAAGTCTGTAACCAAATGCCAAGACAGCGTTTTGAAAACTTGTGCACCAGCTCTGTGGGTTACAGTTTGTTTTTTCCTCTTTCCAGCTGATTGTTTATGAATCTAATCTGATTGCCAGTAAATTGCTTCACGAACAAGATCACTGGCATCAGTTACATCTCTGTCTCTTTTTTACTTTTGTTCTCTGCCACTCACATTTTTCTTTGTTCACTGATCAAAACTATGAACTAAAACCACAGACTGCGCCAGTTTGCACAGTTGTAGAAATGTGATGTTTTTGCATTTGCTGTTCATGATACAGTACAATGCAAAATCTCGTATTGGTTATAAATGTATTCCTGCTCTTTTACAGGAAACTGCGTTGTGCCAGGAACTTTATTCACATCCAGCTCTTTCTTACGTTCATCCTGAAAGCTGTGGCGGTGTTTATAAAGGATGCTACTCTGTTCTCAAGCGACGACACCAACCACTGCACCCTTTCCACAGTAAGATAATGATGCTCGGGACAAGTGCTTCTTGTTTGTATTAAGAAATTCCTCTGGGTGCATTTCCCTGATCTCATGTATTTATGCATAATCACATATTGCTTATGCACGCCTTACCACACTAATTCCTCCTTACACTTTGCTCCCTGTCCTTTCCCCTCTTCTTGTTCTTTCTGGTCAGTTTGCCTGTAAAGCCTCTGTGGTCTTCTGTCACTACTGTGTAATGGCAAACTTTTTTTGGCTCCTGGTGGAGGCACTTTACCTCAGTTCCCTGCTGCTCTCCTCTTTCTATCATAGCCGCCGATGCCTGTGGGGCTTCAGCTTGCTGGGATGGGGTGAGGACCTTGACATACAATTTCCCCAACATTTGCTACGTTGAGCCGCCTACCAAATTAAAGAACATGGCCCTACTTTGCAATATCTCAGATTTAACAATAGTGAGAAGACATGTATGATAACATTGGAATTTTCCAAAAATTACAGTTTTATAACTCATCTTTTTTAGAGATACTGTAAAACACTTTAGAGAAAGAATCGGGTTAAAAAAAGTTTTACAATACGGTGAAAAGTCTTGAGCAATAAGTCTTCAAAAGGCTTGAAGATACCAAATATTACCTTTCGAGCTTGTTAGAACTCAGATTTTGCCTGAATTACCTTTTGTTCCATTTGTGTTTGCATGTTTCAGTAAATGACTCCACCTGTTTGTACTGTTGTATGTGTGTTTTTAAACGAAGAAAATACATGAATACAAACAGGAATCTGAAAAAAATCCCTGTTTTTTGTTGTTCTTTTTGGATTGAACAAATACTGGCAGTGGGCATTTTCAATTTTTAACTCCATCGAACTTGCAGGTAGTTTGGAGCATTTATTTCATTTTGGAAAACTTCTGCCTCGTGCTGTCATTTTTTCCAGTTAATATTCAAGTGTCTGTAAATAAAGCATAGCAAATACCAAAATAACATTTTTACCTTTTACTTTCCCATTGGGATTTTATTTGGATCACACCTAAAGTGCTGATTAGCAAAGTTTCACAGCAGCCTTCAAGGTCAAAAAGAACCAGAAACGGTAACATCAGCCAACATGTGCATATTATTAAAACAGCTAAAAAGTTTCCTGGTTCAGTGGCATGTGCAGCAGTGATCTATATTAACCTCCTAATACCTGGCGGCCACATATGTGGACATCACATTTTGGGTTATTTAGACCAAAATACTCAATTTTGCTCTACAAGGGCCTGATATCCACTTACGAGGACATTGTACTGCTACTGTTGAAATTTTAAATGAATATCCTCATAAGTGGCTCTCATTTTTCTTAGAAACAAAAATTAGGTAAAAAAAAAATCCTGGTAATTCTTTGGGACCTGATGAATGTAAATACAATCAGCCCAAATATCAAAGAGAAATTAAAAATGCATGCTGTTCGGGTCTTAGGAGGTTAACGTTTATATTGATAATTTATTAGATCTGCTATAGATTGAATGTACCTGCCTCTCACTCTATGAGATCTTGGATAGAATTATGTGGGTTCATTGTACTTACTGTAAGATGTACACTGTAGTGCACACAACCTTTAAAATAATTCATTTACATTTTATTCCTTCTGCATGGTGCAGATATTAGGAAAATTGATACTCGTCCAATCAGTTCACACACTGGAAGCTTCCTAACTCTGATTCAGCCATTTTCATGTGTAATGATTGCATCTCACTGACACTAGTTTTGATTTCTGTAACAGGTGTGCCGGTGCTCTTCATAGTCCTGTGGATTGGATCCAGGGTGTATTTTGAGGACACAGAGTTTGTATAAACTTGAATTACAGCTTCTATAGCCACAATCATTATTATTTCTCATAAGCAGCAATAGGTGAAATGCTAAATTGTGCTAAATTAATGAAAATGATGCATATAAACGCATTAGAGGGGAATGTGAACGTGAGTCTGCTGTACATAATATTGTAAGTGCATTTACATGGATAATTTGCACTCACTTTGCACTCAGCAGTAATTGTCGGGTGTTATTTTTAGGACGTCGATTAAATTTACTGCATGCGATTCTTGAAGAAATCTTCTAAAGTGCACATTTCTTGCACAGATGTTGGGACATCAATGAGGACTCACCCTATTGGTGGATCATCAAGGGGCCGATTGTTGTCTCTATAGCGGTAAATGCCCCCATTCTTCTAAAACAAAAAATTATGATGAATTTTTTAATTATGCACTGATTAGAGATTATTACGTAGATGATTTGTTTACCTTCTTTTTAGAGACAGCCTCTGAGAAAGGACTGGGATGAACTTCTTTTGTGCCATTAGAGTAGAGTGCAAAAATTGGCACCACACCAGCCTAAGTTAATTATACGCTTGGCTGCTCATATTGTTGCCATGACATTCAATAATCATGTTGCTGAAAGCAGCATTTGATGTAATACTTGTTACAGTTTTTAAAATTTTTATTATTATTATTAGTATTGATTTTTGCATTCTTGCTTTTTCTTTCAACAGGTCAATTTTATGCTCTTCATGAATATCATCAGAATTCTAATACAAAAGCTCAATCCACGTCTGATCCAGTTCAATAACTCCTCTCAGTACAGGTAATCCTTTAGGTGCAGACACAGTTGTAGACAAAGAGAACTCGGCCGTGATACAGAATCTCATATTTTAGTCATTATTGCATTTTGAACACAGAAACGATCAAATTCATCTTGTTTCTGATACAAGACGTGTTTATCTTCAATTGGCAAACGTTTTCAGACATTTTGAAATACTTTTCTTCACTCACTGGTACTTTTTTACTCTGATGGTTACCGTTTGATGCTGAGAACATTGCAAGTTGTGCCAAAAATTAAAAACTATTGTAGGCCATGAATAATTCAGTAATTCAGTCTGGCCACGTCTGCAGTTCCGCTTACCAAGAGGCTCATTAGAATTTCTAATTGAAATAGACTCACTAATTGACTGAAAATGTTCAGGCACATCACGTAAATCCGGATCTCATAAAAGAAATACCATAGGTACAGTAAGTTAAATGATGCTTGACTTAATTGCACCAGTTAAGTTCACATGTTCCCCGACACATAAAGACATTATCTCTGCAGCTACATTTTAATAGCCCTATTTGAAATCATGCCCCCGCTGCTTACCTTTCCTCTTGTAAAGAGAGGCTGCATACAGAATGACACACACAAAGACAAAGATCATCTTGATTGGCATCTGATCATTACTGTGTCTGCATGCATGATGATATCAGGTGCAGCATTCAAATGAGGTACGTACAAGCAGACTCTTTTTCCTTTGCTTTTGTGCAACAGGCGCCTGACTAAATCCACCCTCCTCCTCATCCCTTTGTTTGGAACTCACTACATGTTCTTCAATTTTCTGCCCGACTACTTCAATATTAACCTGCGCCTTTGTATCGAGCTCTGTATGGGGTCCTTCCAGGTACACACATGGATTGCATCAACACTAATGGCACATACTGTACATGCTGTACCATAGTCTCTTCAGCATCCTGTGATAATCCTTCATGTTAACTTGGCTTCCACTGTTTGAGCATTATGGGTGTGAGACAGCATCTCGACGACATTAGATCTTTGTGTTGCAGGCCTAGAATTGAAAGTCAGTTTGGTTATTAGATCTGCTTCACTTTCTGTCCTTTTAGGCAGCATGTTCCATGTATTAATGAAAGTGTCACTTATTATTATCATAAATATTAATGATTAAACCCATCTCTTTCACAGGGGCTTCTTGTGGCCATTCTGTATTGCTTTCTAAATCAAGAGGTCAGTACACAAACCACACTACTCTAAAGTGTTCAGAAAATTGCACACACAATTTACACACACTGTGGTGCATAATTAGCTCTCACACAGACTCATACACATCAGCCACAATGCGCAAAACTGTCCCATGGTGTCTCAGAAGCATAGTATTATTGTTATTCTAGAAGCATGGGTCACACTTAGCGCAACCTCAAAGAGGCTCAGTTATATTGAGATGAGGAATGTTTGGAGGCCAAGTCAGGACCTTGAACTCTCTCGTGTTCCTGAAATGATTCCTGAACAGTTTTTTGCACTGCGACGGAGCATTTTCACTGGCTGAAAGAGCCCAATGCCATCAGGGAATAGTGCTGCCGTGGAGAAGTGTGACAGATGGTCTGCCACAATATTTAGGTATGTCATGCATGACAAAGGAACATGGGGAGTTTCCCAGCAGAACATTGCTTGTCTGTTTCTCACAATGTATCTGGCAGGCCATGGCTCATATAGTCAGCAAGCTGTTATGTGCTATGTAGCCACTAGACCCCTATCATACCCATCATTAAGATTTTGAGCAGTTTGTGCTAAAGTAGCTGCTGTGTGGCAAGGCTTTGCTCCCCAGGCGCTTCAGTGAGCATTTTAATATTGTGGCTAATCTGTATTCCAGCAGGAGGTAACTGGTTTAGAGTTGTCAGTGCGAAAAATGCAAAAAATATTTTCCACTTCTCTTCCCAGCATTGCATAAGAAAAGGACCCAGCACGCTTATGTAACTGGCAAGATTAATGTAAGGCCAGCCTCCAAAAAACTGGGGGCAGAAGCAGACAGTGTACACTATATGACTCACATGCTTTAGAGACACGAGAAACACGTTAGAGTCACCGAATGGTCATGAGAATTATTTCATTTAATGTACTATTTGTATGATTACCTATGCTTTAATTGTTTCACTGATACGCAGAATGAATGCTTTGATTCTCAGCAAGAAATATATAAATATATATATATATAAAACACTGTGTTTAGCTTTCATCTGTCAACAGTGAGGTGATTCTTGTTTCACTTTTAAAGTATAAAAGAAATAGTCTGACTTTTTGCTAAATATAGATGTTTGTCTTCTACAACTTTTTTCTTCATTGGTTACTAAGAAAATTGATACAAGTTGCACCTCTGTTATATAAAACTACTGCAACCCTATCTTATCCTTGCACTAATTTAAAAACGTAATTTAATATTCTAGTTCATTTAACTTTGTTTAGTTCTGCAAAAATGTAAGTGTAGAAGCGAAAAATCCAGAATAATTTTTAATCCAAGCAGTTTGGTTACCTGCCTCTCCTTGCCAGCAGTAGGTTGGCATATAATGCTCCATAATGATGCAAACTGCAATCAGACTTGTGTTTTTGTTTTTTTTTTTTGTTAATCATTAAACACATGGGATAAAAAAAATGCTGTAGGCAGGGTTTGCCAAGCTAGCTGGTACCTAGTCACTGTGGCTCAGCGATTGCTGGTTGTAGACATACAGGGAGTGCAGAATTATTAGGCAAATGAGTATTTTGTCCACATCATCCTCTTCATGCATGTTGTCTTACTCCAAGCTGTATAGGCTCAAAGGCCTACTACCAATTAAGCATATTAGGTGATGTGCATCTCTGTAATGAGAAGGGGTGTGGTCTAATGACATCAACACCCTATATCAGGTGTGCATAATTATTAGGCAACGTCCTTTCCTTTGGCAAAATGGGTCAAAAGAAGGACTTGACAGGCTCAGAAAAGTCAAAAATAGTGAGATATCTTGCAGAGGGATGCAGCAGTCTCAAAATTGCAAAGCTTCTGAAGCGTGATCATCGAACAATCAAGCGTTTCATTCAAAATAGTCAACAGGGTCGCAAGAAGCGTGTGGAAAAACCAAGGCGCAAAATAACTGCCCATGAACTGAGAAAAGTCAGCGTGCAGCTGCCAAGATGCCACTTGCCACCAGTTTGGCTTATTTCAAAGCGCCATGAGCTTGTGGGGCCTTTTCGGGTTGAGGATGGAGTCAAGCTCAACTCCCAGTCCTACTGCCAGTTTCTGGAAGACACCTTCTTCAAGCAGTGGTACAGGAAGAAGTCTGCATCCTTCAAGAAAAACATGATTTTCATGCAGGACAATGCTCCATCACACGCGTCCAAGTACTCCACAGCGTGGCTGCAAGAAAGGGTATAAAAGAAGAAAAACTAATGACATGGCCTCCTTGTTCACCTGATCTGAACCCCATTGAGAACCTGTGGTCCATCATCAAATGTGAGATTTACAAGGAGGGAAAACAGTACACCTCTCTGAACAGTGTCTGGGAGGCTGTGGTTGCTGCTGCACGCAATGTTGATGGTGAACAGATCAAAACACTGACAGAATCCATGGATGGCAGGCTTTTGAGTGTCCTTGCAAAGAAAGGTGGCTATATTGGTCGCTGATTTGTTTTTGTTTTGTTTTTGAATGTCAGAAATGTATATTTGTGAATGTGGAGATGTTATATTGGTTTCACTGGTAAAAATAAATGATTGAAATGGGTATATATTTGTTTTTTGTTAAGTTGCCTAATAATTATGCACAGTAATAGTCACCTGCACACACAGATATCCCCCTAAAATAGCTAAAACTAAAAACAAACTAAAAACTACTTCCAAAAACATTCAGCTTTGATATTAATGAGTTTTTTGGGTTCATTGAGAACATGGTTGTTGTTCAATAATAAAATTATTCCTCAAAAATACAACTTGCCTAATAATTCTGCACTCCCTGTATATTTAACCAGAATAAACATATCTTTATATGAATATGCAGAACCTGTAGGCACTGAACATGATTTCCATTTGTAGTGCACATGCCATCAAAGCTTGCAGGTAAAAGGCTTGATGGAGACTAAATGAGGGATTGCTTTTGCCAAAATGCACTCAAGCCATCGGCATTGTCTGATGTCAGTTAAGCTTTTGTCTTGGCTCGGATATTCATGAGCACTGCCAACCACAAAAATGGTTGTTGTAATAAGAGGCTAAGTCAAAATACCAGATTATGGGTTCCCAGTTTGCCATATAGTGCTTAACAAATTTATTATACCAACTGTCATAAAAAATAAAGGAAAATATTTTATAAATATGTGAAAAACTTGCGTAAAACAAGACATTATGTTATGTATAACAAATTGAATGCACATTTTTATACCCAAATATGGACTTCTATGAGAGACCGAGCACAACAGTCAAACGCTAAAACTTATTTTCCCAATCAGGAATGCAAGTAATTAACTTTAATTTGGCATGTCAATAAAAAAGAGTGTGCTTTACTTTTTTTCAACTATTTTTTTTTTTGTTGTTGTTGTTGTAAAGCTGTAAATTTGAAAATTCACGGTTAACTAAAATGAAACTACAATGAAAACCATTAAGAATTTCAAAGAGCTTACAGATACTTGTGATTAACCTTTACAGAAACATAAAAGATGATTTTGGTTATGACCATTACTATTAGTTTAGGCCGGCTTTGGCATAAACCTTACATTGAGTGGTGGTCTAAGCACTGCACATGTATCAAAAGGCTTTGAAAACAAATAAATGAATTTCCCAAAATGTCAAGCTATTGCTCTTACCATAATATACTGCAGTTGTTTTAATGATACAATCTAAACACTGATTTAAACAGATATTTATACCTGTGTGTTTGCTTGATAGGTCCAGAAAGAGGTCCACATGCAGTGGTTGAGGTGGCAGGAAAGGAGTTACGGGGTTGTGTCTCCCGCTCCGAAAGGCAGTCAGATGGACACGCCTTTCTAGAAGCCCGAGATGCTTTTTGCTCCTTCCTGCAGAACCTTTGCTGAGTATTTGCAGAGAATTGCTTCTGTGCACATCATAATTTCTAACGAGCTGTACGTAGCACACACAATAAAAAGAGGTTGTCGAACATGCATCAGTGAAGCCGGGGCCTGGAAGTCATTTCAAACTGATTCACTGACTGTTCTCCTTCAGTCAGATTGAATGAACTGGGGTGAACTATCAAAAGGAGAATAATTCTGAAATCCCTTGACATTTTACACATCCTACAAGCGAGCCTGTCAGTTTCCATCTGCATTTCCCAAAGGGCACTATGACAACTGAATTAGAATTTGAAACATCCCTGGAGGCATCAAAGGTCAAATTAAAGAATAATAATTTTGCATAGCCCATCAATTACGTAACCATCAGTTAGCAAGTCATTAGGTGTTGTTGTTGTTTTTATTAACCAGGAAACTACATATTATGATTAGCATTTGCATTTTAGATGCTTAAATAAGACCAAGTATATTGAAATCTGATAGCCTGCAGGACACCACATATGAAGCTGTAGCCTGCTGCCAGCTGACGCACACATGACTCACCTCTTTAATCACTCAAATGACAATTAAAATGTCTTATTCTTAATGGCTTTCTTATTGTTCATTGGTATTTAAATATTATTCGGCACATGGGGGAGAGGTATTGTACAAGTTATGATTATTTCTTTGGTTTTTTGCCTCTTTCTTTTATTTATTCACTCGGCCTGTTTTTATTTAAGAATGAAAACCTGCACACTCAACCTTAAATGGCACGTCGTTGAAATGCACTACTCTGCAGACTTTGAAGGTTAAAGTTAATGCAGCATGTTGTGTTCTGCCAAGTTGTTCAGTCAGCCAAAGTGAACAAATGATCTGCATCTCCACTGCCATCTGCTATCAGCACAAAAATGTGAAAAAAGCCTTTTTTTTAATATAATGTTTAACTTTACATGCTAATGTATGAGTGCTTTCACCTTCATGGTAAAAGAATAATATTAATACTGCACAAATAAATATGCTTTTTGCATCTTGTTTAGTGAAAAACAAATCAAATGTAAGATAAAAACATCATAATTACCGCTACTTTTCATGCCTGCAATGTGTACATGTTATTTTATGTAAATTAGCTCTTATCCTTGACGTGAATGTATAAACTGTGAGACTGTTCCTTTATCACCACCTCTTACTTACTGTTTCAACTGAGCCTCTTTCTGTGATCTTTTAAAACCTTGTACCATGTCTGACTTCTGTAGGTTACAGCATAAACACTTTTACTCTGTGTAATTATGACTCTGCAATTTCTTTCATAATGACAGAAAGCATCTGCTGCCAGCTACAAAATGTTTTAACACTTTTACGCCACTGCAAAGATGATGGGGTACCCACTTGCTTAAATACTTAAATAATTAGATCTGGTTTGCAGTGTAGCTTGTATGTTATGTCCTCACCTTTGTTATAATATAGCCATTAAAATGTGTAGAAGTATGTGTTCAGTTCACATGCGGGTGGAGAAGTGAATCAACAGAAACCATTAGAAAAATTCTGATGGTTTCCAGTTGGGAGAAACAATTCAAATAATCATGACCCATTAGAGGTTTCACATTATCACAGGCTGTATTGTGTTTGCTTTGATGGTTTCCATTATTTCAACTACATACAAAAGATGCAGTCCTTTCTACGCAGTGGGAATGGATGAGGAGGATCCCAAATAATGGACTTTGATCCAAACACAGTTACGGCATCCTTGAGCAATTTAATTAATTTAATTTCACTAGCTGGGACTACATCCTCACTTGGCAGCATTTCCTGTAGATAATGTATTGTGAATTAAGGCTGCAGTGTAGTAATGGCTTCAGAGAAGACTTGACTGGGCAGAAGCCTATGGGCTAATGAAAGGTGAATGAACGGAAAAGGGGAGGGACACAAAAAAAGAGAACAAACATTGTAGAGCAGGAGGGTCATATGTAGACAGAGAACCAGAAGGGGGGTGTATGAGGGGTGGTCCAGATAAGTTGTCTCCAATTATCGATATATAGAGATTTCTTTTAATAGAAAACACAACAGTTTTCTATTTTTTTTTTTAAAAAAAAGTTAAAATATTATTTTAAAGTAACACCAAGAACGAACAAAGTAAGAAACTAGGAGACAGTTTCTGTGATTCGTTAGATTCACCCTTTATTAAAGTGACTACTGAAGCAGGAACATAAAGGTTTTCTTTATCATGTCTGTCTGTCACTCACAGGAGAGACATTAAAGTAGTAGGTCTGATGTGAGCTACAAGATGAGCTCTGTAAAAATACATTTTTTTTAAAGCTGTGACTGAAATGTGCACAGAAAAAGAGGAAAAAAGCTTTATGGGAAAAATAACAATGAGTCAGTGAAATTCAGAGAACTGTGAATTGTGAGGGTTTTTTTCACTCAATATCCTGAAGGAAAAGGGTTTTTTTAAGGGGGGTCTGTGCTTCACTCTCCTGTGAGGTGCAGGGTGCAGTGGCCTATGTGGAATGCCCTGTAGGGGGTATTTTTTTACAGTTAAGCCAAATGATTAGACCCCTTGAGAACCCCACTTATCACAGTCCCAAGTTATCACAGAACTATTTCTAAACCATCTGATATTTGCATAAGGTGAGCTGTAGCGGTTGAGCTTTCATCTTTCGCTCTGATCAGTCTGATTTTACTTTGGCGTGTTTGTATGAGCCGCCCAGGGAAGCTGAGCTGCAAGGATTTGGCCTCCCTTGTTCCGGGGCTCGTTTATGACATCCACGCCAGGGTTTAAAGCAGGGCCACCTAGACACAGCCTCCAGGCCAGCCTTTTGCTGCCTGTTTGCGGTGATTTGGGATTTGTGGAATGGGAAGTGCAGAGCTCCGGGACAGGATGTGGAGTCACTGCAGGATCGTACAGCCCCCCTATTCTTGACAGAGCTGGCGTGCGTCTGCATGAGCACCTCGTCTCTGCCGAAGATCCACTGTAGAACCGGATCGCTTTGTGGCCTCTGGAAACCTCAGTGTTCCCGAGCCCTCTACTTAAGAGTAAATCTAAACCCAGGTACGTCGATTTACGCGACTTCTACGCATCTTTTGCTTCGCACCAACTCACAGAAACAGTTAGTCCCGCATTTGTTTTTATCGCCTTCTATTAGCTGTTCTCGCAAAGAGTTTCGGGATAATACAGATGCTGCCAAAACTTATCTTCTCAGTTAAATTAGACACATTTCAGTGTGATCTGTGGGTGAAACTGCAGTGGATGTAGGTCTCTTTTGTTCAGTGCAGACAGCCTCGGGGGTTAACTTAATGACAGAGTGCTCTTTCCCCCCCTCGTGCTGTTGTTTTGCCTGCCCGGACATGCACTGTGTGTCTGTGTGCCTCTGTGTTTTCAATAGGTGAGCACCTTTACAGTAACTATGAAATGCTCTGTGTCATTTTATCTATTTTTAAACTCTGGTTTATTGATGGCTGAGTAACCTCATCTTCTCCTCTTCCTCTCCACACAGATTCAGGTGATGGCTCACCTCTGGACTCTCCTGTCAGCAGGCCTGCTGCTGATGTCCGTGGCTGAACCTCTGAGCAGCCCTCAGGAAAATGACAACAAGTTAGTGAAACACACAGTGTTCACTAAGAGCCAGGCAAGTGGTTTAGGAAGGCTTCTTGCATGTATGTTAGTCTGACAGCATCAGACTATAAATAAATCTCAGTTTGTTGCCTTTTCCTGCTGCAGACCCAGGTGAACGAGAGTGCACTCAGAAATGTCAGTGAACCAACACCAAGCCACACACCTACAACCTGTGAGTTTTTTGGGTTTTTTTGGTCATTTTGTCTTTTGTTGTGTTTATTTTTTCTCTCTTTTGTTGTGCTGTGTCTTACATTTCAGCATTTCCTTTCAGCAGCTCCCTCTTTTTCTTTGCATTAGCAGCTCCTTTGACCACCACAACTTCCCCAAACTCTAGCCTTGCTCCACAGTGTCCAGGAAACCAGCTGATGCATGAGAGCAGCAATGTCTGCATCTGTCCATCCATCATGGTAAAGGATGGTGACAACTGTACTTGCCCCAAGGGCTTCACCTTGGAAGGAGCAGCCGAGTGTAAAGGTAAGAAGTGATCAAAACTGGGAAAGTGCTTTTTGTAGAATTGGAAAATCACAAAAAAAATAAAAATGCTTTTGACACCTTTGAGTTTTTAACATTTACAGCAATGCAACACAACATAAAGGTACGCTACGTTACACGAGCCCAGTGAACAAAATTGCACGCAGGCTCATTTAGCCTCTCTTGGAAAATATTAATGTGTATTAGTATCACGGTTGTGTTTAAACTTTTAACTGTACTGCGCAAATTTTCAGAAGCAAGCGTGAGTGATGAGAAACAAGCTACCAGCTGATCTAACTGCAGTATAATTTATTTACAAAACTTTTTGCATTTAATATTTCAGAGCTGTGTTATATATTATTCATATATTTTTGTCAGCTTGACATCACCATGTAAAACTGCAGGTGTCTGAGTTAGATTAAGCGTATTATCTCTGTTGGATGTTGGACAGATGTTGATGAGTGCGAAGGAGAGAGACCAGGACCATGTGACCTCCATGCCAGCTGCATTAATAACCCCGGCTCTTACTCGTGTAGCTGTCTCCGTGGTTACCTGATGGGTTCTGACGGGTGCCAGGGTTCGTCAACCTCTGTGTGTGTTTTTCTATTTGTGTGTGTGTTTGTGGGGGAAAAAGAAATGTCCGATGCAGGTTTTCAGAAATTTTTCACAGCGCCTCTTTAGTATGATCATAATTTACGTGTTTCTTATGGGTCTTGCAGATGTTGATGAGTGCGCTTTGGCCGCTGTGACAGGCCTGCAGGCCTGTCAAGGCAAGGCTGAGTGCAAAAACACACCTGGCTCCTTCACCTGTTCGTGCCATGAGGGATATGTAATGGCTACAAATGGGCGAGGCTGTGTAGGTGAGGTTAATGTTGAAGTCTGGTGTGCGTTTTGATAAAATATGCATGTACATCCAAATATATATAAGCATAAAATACAGGCTGACACGCTACATCATAACCCGGGATGACTTAAATGTTTGCATCTGTTAAACTTGGCCATTTATCTTATAATTTATTGGTGTTACTCCTCTGTAGATGTGGATGAGTGCGGCTTTGAGGAGCTGTGTCGCCGCGAGCTGGGAAATGTGTGCGTTAACACTCCTGGCAGCTTTTCATGCCAGTGCCAGCTGGGCTTCAGAGCAGAGACTGCTGCCTGTGTCGGTAAATCATTAAACATCACCACGACTGAAAAAGGCCGATGTCCAGATTTGATCTGCTGTTTTGAATTTTTAACATACTTCATTTGAGTTTCTGCAAAGTAAGAACTTTGTCTGACAGAGAGAAATGCTTTGCAGCAAGATACAGCTTCAGTCTGCTGCTTTGCCTGCTTATATATGCTCCTGTCCCTCTTTCACCCTCACGTTAAAGGCTGATTTCCTCTTTTGTTCTGTAAAGAAAAAAAAAAGAAGTCTGTTCACTTTCTTTTCGACTTCTTTGCGCCCCTGGTCCTCCAGCACATCCTGTGTACCCAGGTTACTCTGTGTGCCAAGGCATGATGTGCTTTCTGTGCCTGCTTTTCATGGCTTAAATTTTCATAGTAACATCTGCGCTGTGCTTGATTATGTACTATGATTTTACCACTACTGTCAGAAAGTAGCAATGTTAAATGGACTAAAGGGGAATTAAAAGAAGAAAAAGAAAAAAAAATCTATTACCACAGCTTCCCAAAGTGGTTCAGTGACAGTTATTTAAAACAAGGTTGTTGACATGAAAATGACTTCGTACCTTTATTGCTTGCCAGTAAATTAAGGGAGTGCTTTGCAGGAATTAAATTTCCTTTTCTCTAGATGAAATAACTTTTAATTGCAAATTGCGTCAGCAATGCATAGAAGAAGAAGTCATATGTTGTATCCATGTCACTAAACTATTCTGTCCTTTTGTCTCTGTCCCAGATGTGGATGAATGTATAGAGAGTCCCGTGGCGTGTGATGGACGGAGCGTATGTGAGAACACGCTTGGGAGCTACGAGTGTGTTTGTCGACCGGGTTACCGGGGAAACGGCACACACTGTGAAGGTAAGCAATTAGTGCTGACGTCCCTCCGTGGAAAACTCTGTTTCCTGTGGACGGGGTCAGCTTCCTTGTGTGCGCGTGTTTTAATGCTTGCTGTTATCCCTTCCATTAAAATTATCCCAAGTGGTAGTACAAGCTTCACTGAATAGAAATGAACCGGCTCTCTGTCTGTCTTCAGATGAGAATGAGTGTGTATCTGGTGGTCACACGTGTGACGCCAACGCTCGGTGCGGTAACATCATCGGGTCGTATTTCTGTCAGTGTTACCAGGGCTTCAACGGCGATGGACACTCTTGTTTTGGTGGGTAATGGGTGTGTGTGTGTGTTTGTTGTTACCCACTTGTATCATGTAAGCATTACTTTCTCTGTATGAGCATTACATGTGCTTGTTTACAGACATTGACGAGTGTGTTGTGAACAATGGTCGCTGTGAACACAACTGCACCAATGAGCCAGGAAGCTACAGCTGCCAGTGTGCCTCGGGTTACCAGCTGGACCTGGACAGACACAGCTGCACAGGTAAAAGGCAGGCTGTAGTAGGATGTTATTAAAGTAGGCATGAGTGAGCATGACTTTTTCTTATGTTCCTTTAAAAAAAAAAAAAGTACTTTGACTTTTTAGAAAATAGGCTTCATAATTCTTGCTGTGGGTTAACAGTTGTACAACTTTTATTATTGTGAAATGTGTTCTATAAATAATCAGAATCAACTCGTTTGTGGATCTACTGAAAAAGTAAGCACACCCTTAATGTAAATACTGGCCAATTCCTGAGATGTTACTCCGTAATGCACAGTGCCACATTTGGTAAAGATCAAACACACCATGTGTCCAAATGGCTAATACAAACTGTCAAGCACCATGGTGGATGGTGCTTGACAGTTGGTATACGTGAGTTGATGATTTAGGCTTGTTTTGCAGCCGCAGGACCTGAGTCGACCTCACAGCTAAAGCTTGGCTCAAATTAGGTCATGAAACAGGGCAATGATTCCAAGCAGAACAGCAAACCTACAACAATGGAGAGAAAAGGAGAGAATCGAGGTGCTGAAATGAAGTTATTGCTGCTAACAGCGGTTCTACAAGCTGCTGAATAATGACGTTTGCTTACTTTTTCATTTGACTGCATAGTCTTGTGAAAATTTTATTTGTCACATGATTGTGTCTACCTGTTCCCCTCTGCTTATTCTCTAAAGCTCCATATAATCCAAGTATTGGGTATATTGTTTGCATTAACTCTAAAATGTGGGCTTTGCTACTGTCAGAGGAGTTTATTTGTTATTGTGACCAAATGTAGTCCAGGACAAAATTCAGAAATTTAGGATGACCTCTGATGATGATGATGATGATGATGATGATATAACACCGTCCAAACCAAACAGATTAAGTGAACAAACGGGAATGGCAGCAGAAGCATGCAAAAAAATAGATCGGGAACTACAGCTATGGATCAAGACCTCTGTTATTACTATTATTGTTATTATTGTACAGTCTGTATATGTCAAATCTGATGTCATACACATTTTTATTAGATCCTTGCATCATATTTTTGCTTGCAGTAAATGTATGAAATTGCTAAAGTGTCACAGTGCATGGCTGTGAGACCTTTAAACTGCCTTTATTATTGATGAGTGAAGTAAAACAAACTGCAGTCTAAAATGTGCTGCACCACCCACCATAACAGCCAATCAGATGGGCAGTACAGCAGTTAAAATGTAACCGTCCTCTTCATTTTAATTAGTTACACACAGTAACCATTAAATTGAAACCTAAACACAGTTGCTGTATTTCCTAGAGACGAGGTTCTAAGGTCAAGTCATAGTGCGGCTAGTCAACAGAGGGCAGCAGAGATCATCTCTGTGGGCTTCTGCATCATTCTCAAAAGACATAGCCATCGTTGCTCTCTCCATTCAGTCACTCTGCACTTAGCTGGTATTCCAGGTTTGTGCAATTTTGTGCTAATAGAATTTCAGATGTTTATTTCAAGTCTAAATGAGTCCTTGTGCTGAATCTATTTCATGTTTTGCCATGGCGCAAGAGTAATCTAAATGTTGCTGATCTCTCCAGATGTGGATGAGTGTGTGGGACTAAATGGGACTTGCGAGCACATTTGCATCAATACTCAGGGCTCTTTCCACTGCTCCTGCAGACCCGGCTACCAGCTGCATATTGATGGCCACACCTGCGTGGGTCAGTCGCTCTTAAACACTCACTGCTGTTTACCCAATCATTTTCGGTCATTTAAACATGCCAAGCATCAGTAGTAATCTGCCATGAATATGTCTTATCTCTTGCTAATTATTTTGGTGCATGTGATTCTGGTTTTTCTTGTGCATATTTTCTGTGCAGACACTCTGGAAGTAGTTGTCCTGAGGGCACATTTTGGAAAATTAGTGAGATGAGAAAGCCAGACTGTGAGGAATCTGTTGCATGCATAAGAGAGAGCTGTCCAAACATGATGTTTATGATCTGTGTGTTTCTGTGTGTGGGTTTGTGTACATAGACATCGATGAATGTAAACTCCAGAATGGCTGCTGTTCCCACACCTGCACTAATTCTCCAGGGGGACATACTTGCCATTGCCCCCCTCCTCTGCTGTTAGACATAGACAACCTAAACTGCAGGAGTAAGTTTGATTACAGAGTTACATTACAGTCTTTTGTGTACAAAAATATATAATTATTAAAAAAAAAAACAGAAGGTAGGCACTTCTTTCAAATCTGATTAAAAAAATCTTATTAAGAACTCTTGTCCTGGTGTTTTAACACAGATTTTTCATCAAGATCGAATCTTTCAATGTGACATGACACAGCTAAATATGTTTTTTCCTTCTGATCAGCAGTCAAAACAAGCATAGCACCAAATTTCCCATTTTAAAAGCTGAAATAGCAAGTTCACGCAGTCTTCTTTATTGTTCAGTATTTCTGTGTACCAAGCTAAAAATTATTATTATTTTTTTTTTACCCAAAAAGATGCTACATCCTGTAAGCTGAGAAACGGTGGTTGTGACCATATGTGCACTGTAAGGGCTGAGGGCCATGTTCAGTGCAGCTGTCAAGCTGGCTGGCAATTGGACGAAGACGCGAGGAGCTGTGTGGGTGAGAGTTCATGTTCACTGCCAGCACTTTATTATTAGCTGAATCACATGGCGTTACTATCAGCAAACGCACTCTCGAAAGCACCAATTTGTTGCAATCTGGTTTGTGTGCACATTCCTCTGCGCCATATCCTCCTGGGTAATAAGAAAATGATGTCATTCACATAGATTACAATTTCAAGTTACTTTTCTCAAAATCTCGAGTTTATAAGTCAAAATTTTGAGAAAGATTTTGAGTTATGGAAACAGGCTTCCATAGTTATGAGATCGTATCAGTGCAACAAGCCCTGATATCCTTTTTCATATAACACCTAATATCAAAATAATAATTAAAATGACTTTACCATCTCTTGAATCCAGCAGAAATACACTCACCAGCCACTTTATTGGGTACACCTCTTTAACTGCCCATTAATGCAAATATCTAAGTGCTTCTAGGCATGTAGCCCAAAGACTGTATAAGACATTTTTTACATTCACGGATGCAGACGTGGTCAAGACAACCTGCTAAAGTTCAAACTGAGCATCAGAATGAGGATGAAAGGTGATTTAAATTACTTTGAACATGGCATGGTTGTTGGTGCCAGACAGACTTGTCTGAGGGTTTCTTAAGCACATCCATCGCTGGGGTTTGCAGAGAAAGGTCTGAAAAAGAGAAAGAGGGTGACAGTTCTCTTGGCAGTAAAAATGCCACGTTGATAACAAAGGTCAGAGGAGAATGGCCAGACGGCTTTAAACTAATTGAAAGACACCAGTAACTGAAATAACCACTTGTTACAACCAAAGTATGCAGACGAGCATCTTTGAACAAACAACGTGTAACCTTGAAGCAGATGGGCTACGGCAGCAGAGCATCACTCTGCCACTCCTGTCAGCTGACAACAGGAAACTGAAGCTAGAATTCCCACAGACCACCCGTCTGATAAATCTTGATTTCTGCTGTGAGTAATTTAGCATAAACAAGAGGAAAGCATGGATCCATCCTTGTATCAGTAATTGAGGCTGGTGACGGTGCAGTGGTGTAGAAGATGTTTCCTTGGCACATTTTGAACCCCTTAGTATTAGCTGAGCATTGTTTTGTATACCTGAGTATTTTTTTCATGTCCATCCCGTTCTGACTACAGGCTTACCATGTTCCGATGGCTGCTTCTCATAGGATGATGCGCTATGTGAGAAAGCTCAGATTATGTCATGAAACATAATCATAATGAATAGAGCACCTTTGGGATGTCGTGGAATAGGCCCTTCACAGATGTGCAGCGGACAATTCTTCAGCAACTGTGCAATGCAGTCATGCCAGTTGAGACCCAAAATCTCTGAGGAACGTTTTCAGCACCTTGTTGAATCTGTGCTTTGAAGAATTAAGGCAAAACCCAGTACTAGCAAAAGTGGCTGATGACTGTAGATTATCCACACAGCAATTTTGAAAAGGCTAAAGAGCCAGAGAGGCTTTCAGAGATTAGATCGGCTTCTCATTTGCGTTGCATTCGCCATGTGATTTCTTTTCATGAAGCTATTCATAAAAAAGGAAATTTGATAGTCTGTTATGGACTAACGACTCCCTTGAATGAATACAGAGGCAGGCATGCCTTGTCACTTAGCCAACCATAAATTAAGCAACTGTCACGTAGGTTTAATGTTTAATTGCCCTCCTTCTGTCTTCTGTCATGAGATGTGAACGAGTGTGAGGACTTCACTAATGGAGGCTGCGAGCAGCTGTGTGTGAACCATCCTGGTGGGTTTAACTGCACCTGCAAGGAGGGCTATATAGTTAGAAAAGATGACCCCACCAAGTGCCAGCGTGAGTCAAACATAATCTTATGTAGTGTTAAGGACTTTTTAAAAATCTAAAAATAGATTTATTTCAATTCCTTCACTTATCTTTATCAGCCTCTCTGCCTTTCCAGCTGTGTGCGACCCCCCTTGTCAGAACTATGGAGTGTGTGTTGCCCCGAACATTTCTATCTATCTATCTATCTATCTAGATTATTTTGCATTACATGCATTATATATACACATATATATATATACACATATATATATATACACATATATATATATACACATATATATATATACACATATATATACACATATATATATATATATATAAAAATGTTTTTTCACAGGAATATAGACTGTGCAGATTAAATTAAAGTTAATTTGTGTCTCTTTTTTGTGCACTTTTCGGTGTGCTTTGAGGTTAGTATAAGGTTTTAATGCAAAGAGGAGTATTATAGCCCTTTTCGTTGCATGTTTCAGCCATGTGCTCCCCTCCCTGCGCTCATGGAGGTACCTGTATGCGCTGGAACGAGTGTTTGTGTCTTCGCGGCTGGACAGGAGCAGGCTGCCACACAGGTACACTGCCTTTGGGGATCAGAGGGACAGGTGTTACATCAAATAAATAGAGTGGACAGTGTTTAGAAGCACTGTTTACATCAATGTGTTGCCCAGAAAATGCTTTTATAAGATGTTCTGCACTCACCTAAGACAAAGAGGCACTGGTACATATATCCATGCATGTATAAATGCATGTGCACAGGTGATGTGTGTGTCACAATGCCATTTTCTTCTGGATTCGACATCTTGATTGTTAGCTTTGACTTTTCTTCGTGTCTCTTCTCAGCTGTGTGTGAGTTTCCTTGTGCCAACGGTGGTCGCTGTGTGGGACCTGACACCTGCCAGTGTCCCTCCGACTACACTGGCCCCCAGTGCCTCTTGCGTGAGTAACATAATACAATAAATTATCCCAGGTGTGTAGCACCACCGAGATCTACCCATCCACCTGCCTCCAAACAGTTTCTGGTAAAATATGGGCTATAGGATGGCAGAAAAACAAAAAAAGCATGAAGACATTTTTCTGCACAGACTGCGTGTTACTATATTATTTTGCATTTTGTAGCCCTTTGCACTCCTGCCTGTCAAAATGGGGGAAGATGTGTGGACGTCAACAAATGCACATGTGTTGGTGGATGGCAAGGAGCTCGATGCCAGATAGGTGAGATCAGTCATTCTCTGTTACTGTATCTCTGTGTAGCTTTTCCTGCATAATTAAAATATATTCAGACTAAAATATGATCAAACCATGTTTACACAGTAAGTTACAAATGATCATGGATGTAATTTTAACAACCACTTGTGTTTATTTTAAAAAAAAAACAGTAATATAAAGCTTCTCATGTCTTCGGATTACTTTCCTCTATGCAGCGAGTGTGATTTGCTTCTGTGCAGCTGGAGGCTTTAGTGTGATATTGGATGTGAAATTAGATGTTGACACCAGTGGATGCAGCATGGTTTCCCGTGGTTTCTTCTTCTCCCTGTTGCTTGCTGTTTGTTTCCATTGTTGCACTACTCTGCTGTTGTTGTTGTCGTTGACCAAATAAGATGAGATGTTTTTCATTCGATGTGCTTATGGGTGGAGAGAAGCAATCATGTGACGTATTTCTGGACTCTTTCTCTTATATTTGAAACCAGACACCGACAAATATGCAGCGTTTATTGTTCCATCCTGTTTTGTCACCTGGCATTTCAGAGCATATTCAGTAATTATTGAAAATCTTCACATTTTTCTTCTGTGTCAGTGGTGTAGAGCTAAGCCCTTCAATCATAACATGCGGCGGTGTCTGCCAGTGCATAGCTTCATAATCAACACGTTTCTAATGTCCAGACTTTCATCTGGAGCTTTTATTTCTCCAATCAGTAACAGTGTTTTTAAGTGGAAAAATGTCATTACTGTCATGGTCTCTGTGTCTACCCGGCCAGCCCTGCAAGGCTACATGTGTTTTGGTTTTGCTCTCTCTCATCGCTCTGCCTGGGCGGAGCTCACTGAGAGCTTCTGCTTTTGGCCCGCGCACCTGCTTCTAATCATGCACCGGTGATTCATCATTAGGGCTGGGTATCGTCACTGATTTCTAGAATTGATTCGATTCCGATTCACAAGGTCCCGAATCGATTTGATCCACAATTTGCTTCAATTTGATTTGATTCGGGGAAATTTTGCCTCAGACAGCCAGTCATTAATTTCCTCAATGCATTTACCAAGAGCCTGTACAGGGCCTCGGTCTCCTGGTGACATTGTGATATATATTTGTGTGTCATCTGCATAGCTGTGGTAGTTTATTTTGTTGTTCTTTATAATCTGTGCCAGTGGGAGCATGTAAATTAAAGCACTTCACTCTGTGAGATATGTTATGTATGGATGCTGTAGAAGTTACTGATACTCACAGTCTCTCACAGCGCAGGCCTGCAGTGCCCTCGGGACAGGTACAAGTGTTGTGAGGGCTGCATGTGCCTCCATGTTGACAGGGTGGCACACAGGGTGTAGTCACCGCTGCAGACACAGCACACAGCATGATCCTTTGTACACATACTGTATATGTACACATTCTTCCACACTCATGGACTAACCTTGTTCACAGAGCTCTCCAGTGAAACCTTTGGTACAGCGGCACCGGTTGAGGCCCACACACACGCCACCATTTATGCAAGGTTTCTGGCACACAACAGGCTCTGATCAAGACAGAAAAAAGAATGCATACATCCAAACACATTGAGTCTTCTTATTAAACATGGAGCATAGATTATTTAGAGGATTTGGGCAGTTATAAATTACACAATGAGCAGAACATACATTTATCAACAACAGTGTAAGAACAAAAGGCTGTAAGTATGGAGCAACTTATTCTGTGTTTTCTAGTAGGAATGAATATGTGACTAGGGATGGGTACCGGTGGCCGGTGCCATGATGGCACGTTCTGACATAAACGGTAGTAACCAGACCGAAAAGCAGCGCACATTTCGGTGCTTTTTTTCCTGAGCTGTGATACACTTCTAGCCAATCATTTTACGTTTCCGAGGATAGTAGGCGGGGCCAGGTACGTACGTTCTGTTAGAGCAGAGCTACAGATTAAAAATGCCCAAGGCGAAGCGGTCAAAAGTCTGGCTGTACTTCACAGCAAAAGATGCAAACTCAGCAGCAACAAGTGCTTTAAGCTGATACTGTGATACTGTCAAAGGAGGTAACACCTCGAATCTGATGAAACACCTGGCGACGCATAGCGTTTTTTTTTAAAAGCCGAGAAATGCGCCGTATTTGATAGCTTGCTGCGAGACCTCACACCGAGCACATCTACTGCGGGTGTGGTGCCTGTTATCAGACCCGGAGTTAGCAACATCCCCCAAAAACCCGAAGAGGAGAGTCCTGGCCCCTAGCCCTGCCAGTGTAGCAGAAATGATGAGGATGATGATGCAGCAGCAGCCGTTCTTCTCTGCGTGAGTAGCTTAATGTTGTTCGTGTGTAATTTACGTTGAGTAGGCTAACCACGTTATTACATTAATGCATGTAAGGTGAACTAGCAAACATCATCATAGCTACATGCGGCTGTCTTCTTGTTTGATGGCAGATACTCCCTTCACCCTGGCCAAAAAGGCTAAAATGACCAAAGAAAAAGTGGAAAACAGTTAAACATGAGAGGTTTTTGGACAAAGTTTGTGTTTTTTCCATTGTTTAAGCACTGCTTCCAGCCAAGAGTGATACCATATATGCCCCATAGCTGCAGAAAAGGCTAACATTGTTATCTTTTTACAAAAACCAGCTGAACATGAGAGGTTTTTGGACCAATTTTGTGTTCTCCATTCTTTAAGCACCGGTTTGAGCACCGTTTGAGCACCGGCACCGTTTCAAAAGTACCGATTTGGCACCGGTATCGGATAAAACCTAAACGATACCCATCCCTATATGTGACTATAGCCAAAGGGTTGTAATTGTCACAGAAGTGGTCCGCGCTTTGTGTTTATGTCCTTTTTGTGCTGATTCTGAAGCTGCAGGTTTTTATCTCTCTCCAAACAATATTGACTGAACCAGCAGCAAAAGAAGATCCAAACTACGCTTCACATAAACATCGTCATGAATTCACTCTGACTTTTGCTGTTTTGCTTCCACCACGATAAAAATCACACTTCATGCACAGCTCTCTCTCTCTCTCTCTCTCTGTACTTCAAGAACAGATTTCCCATCTAAAAATCTTTTTTCTGCATTATTCGCACAAGTCTACCGTTGTTTGCAGGCTGTCGGCCGCTGTTTTTTTCCTTTTACTAACTTCCGAAAAGAAAGCCTCATTTCTGCTGTTCAATACTGAACAAATGTAAACTTTTTAAAATTATGCAAAATTGCGAAACGCTCAGCTGTGTCTCTAAAACCTCTGTAACTTTGCTCTGCTTCACTTCAGCAGCATCAGGGAATGTTCATATGTTGATTAATGGTTTTCTTTCGTTTTTGATCTACTGCAGAATATTTTTATATTTATTTTTATGTGTTTTATCCTCAGCTACTTTGACACAAAGGCATCTGCTGTGATGCTCACACCTTTGATAAAGTCTCACAAGTGTCAGCTTTCTTTTTATAGATATAAAAATATGGAAATGTACTGATGCATGATCTGAATTATAATATTTCTGA